AAAACTCGCCTTGTAATAGTTACTTTTCAATTGCTGGTAATATTCATTGATATTAATTCTGCAATATTAAGATATATCCATAATTATTCAAGATTCTCATTCCCAGTAAGAGATACGGCAATTTCACTATAACATTTTAATCTCTTGTTAACAACAATCATAAAAATTAATGGTTTCTGTGAACCATCCAGAAAGTCAGGGCAGGATCTAACATTTTGGCGCCCCAATGCCCTATAATTTTTCCCTGCTGCAGCAAGTCCAATTTTGTAGTCATCCCTTAAGATCTACACACAATTAGAAGACACAGTTTTATTTTATGTGTGCGTGTAGTCTTTATTTTTGTGTTTTTTTTTTTATATTAAACAACGACTCAGTCTATTCCCTCACCAGAGGGTCAACGACAAAGGCCAATGAATAATGAATCTTTGAAATCCACCACCAGACAAAAAATTTGTGGTGACCAACCTATTTTTAACAGTAACCTAATAAACCAAATCCCTTAAAAACTTTTAAGAAAATGTTCCCTGGTTGTGAAATAGGTAAATCCCCATTAGTTTCCCCATGAGAATAGCTAAATACTATAAAGGGAATTAGCTATTCTCATGGGTTCAACCAATTTTGTCCACCATTTCATCAAACACTAAACTAGGCCAACCACCTTAGTCCTTTTTGTTAAATTGGTTCAACAATTTTTACAGTTAAGTTAATTCACCACAGTCTCACGCAACATTTACTCATCACTCCTTAGACATAGGTAACAAAATCAGACATTGAATTTTGATTGGCTTGTGATTTTTTCCCAACAAAAGTGCAAAAAGCACTTGTTGTGCTCGCTACAGTAGCTCAATGACTTTTAGATGTAATAATTTTAAAAGTCAGAGATCTAGGTAAAGAAAATTGTAGCATAAATTTATTGTTTAGGCCTACTATTTAACTTAAAAATTGAATTGATTGTAATATGCTAATGGACTTTTATTGGAATAATAGACATTGAAAACTAGTTAAACCTGTGTGGAATTTAATAATAGGCCTAGCCTATTAAATTTTTTAATACAGTCCCCTACTTAATTACTTGAATCTTGATATCTCGAATTCAGATATCTAAAACTTGTTAATCCCCTTGAAATCCCCATGAATAACAATGTTATAAAAAACCGCTATAAATAAGTTGATGGATTTCAACATTGAACCAAAGCAAGTAAACGGATTTTGATCAATATAACACAACCTCTTTGACAGAAATTTTTCTGTTGAGCCTTAAAAACTCAAAGTTTACCTTTATAAGCCGAACCTTTCACAATGAGCTTCAATAACTCTAAGTTAAGCTGTACAGTGCAAGTCACCCTGTGTTTTGATTCCTGTTGAGACGTTAAAATCCAACTTTCTTTGTTTGTTTGGCAATGGTTATTGGCTAATAAGTCTGCCAGGTATTAGGATTATTTTGTATGCATCGGACGTCATGTCATTAGTCAAATGTAGAGTAAAATATTGACATAATAAGACGAAAAAAGAAGAGTGATTAAGGCAGTTGACAGTAGGTTGAAGAAAAAGTTGAAATCGCCAGGGAATTTGTAGGATTCTGCCTATCACTTGATGGAGGATTTAGAAAACTGTGGAAAGTATGAGGGCTAAAGGTGGATTTATCAATAAAGAAGGATGTAAGAACGACGAGTTTGAAGACGTGGGAAAATGTGTTTTAACAAGGTTAACACAGTGTCGAGATAAAACATTGCCATATCAAGAGCGATTTTTTTCAATAGAATGTAATTCAGTATGCCTTTCGTTTGCATGATAAATAAGCTTTAGTTTTATTTATTTTGCTTCCACAGTTACCCTTAACACGTTCGCTGCTGCCCATCAAATGGCAGGCCTAGCCTCAGTGCGGCGCAGCCCGCAGCGTCGAACAAGCTCGATTGCCGGGCTATTGGCTTTCATATTTCGGTATGACGAATATCAAATAACGTTTGGTGATGTCCTGTTTCATGACAAGAATCAACGTAGTTTGCTAAACACCCACAGTAGATGCCATTATTTTACAATAAAACGAAATTAATATAGCACAAAATTACAGTTAACAAACGTAATGAGTGAGTCAAAATCCACCAGGTATAGTTTCGGAACGCGTAACGATAATTACAAATGGATTGCACCACAACACTGCCACTGTCGTACACGAAGCACGGACAAAAATACTCCGACCTTCACCGGAGTGCGGCTGCACTCAAACGGAATAAGTTTGGCGGGTGCACATTACCGCCCGCGTGGCGCACCGCAGCGTGGCATAGCGCGGAGCTACCGCCCGGGCGGTAACCCGCAGTGAACGTGTTAAGTAGCTTGAGCTAGATTTATAAAGGCTTTGCACGTTTAAAAGTTGTGATGTAACATCATTGTCAGAATCCAACACCTTGGTATCTCAAATTTAAGGTATAGCACCTTCATAACTTATTGGAATACAACTTTGTTGAAATTATATACCTACTGACTTTTCCAATTGCAATGTAATATCGTTTAACGGAATAAAGAATTGTCTATTGTCCAAAAAGACTTACTCCTAAGCCTTAAATTTGTATCATACCCCCGCCAGATTTGTGATACCAAGGTCCTACCAAAATTTCCAAGGATAGTAATTTACTGAATTTATTTAAGCTGTACTTACTTGGCCATATTCTAATGTAAAACTGACTTGTTCTACTTTTCCCGGGAGTTTCCCTTTTTTCCTGATGGGCACAAACGGCAATCCAAGTTCTAGAGCTACGACGGGACCAAATAGGAATCCTCGGGATTCTAATGCAGCAACCACATCCACTCTTTCTAACGTTTTCACATGATCAATTATAATTTCTTTCAGAGCACAGAATGCCTTGTAGTTTCTCAACACAGAAAATATATCTCTGAAAAATTATATTTAGTTGTAGTTTATCAACACAAAAGTTAGTACCGGTACCATTCTTATAAAAATCATTTTTAAACTTATGCAATAAATCTTAACTTAGGCCTAAAATGGAAACTCCAAATTTACAATACAAAAACTTAATTTTATTCACTGAAGATTTATAATAGGCACAGTAACAAACATAAAAGGTGGATTTACAATCAGGGTTAACAATATAGGGAGAATTTACCAGTACTTGAAGTTACTAGGCTAATACAATGTTCTCAATTTAGACCTGGGGTTTGTTACCTGTAGGCCTACTCTGAATCTCGGGTTGGGGTGATCGCTCGGCGTCGTAATTTAATCTTGTGATTTAGGTAATTATTTGGTTACTTCAAATAGTTTCTTGATGTTAAAACGTAGTATGAAATTTAGAAAAAGTTAAGTTATGGCCTAAAATTTTCTAATATGGCTTCCAAATAAAGGTTTTACAGGAGTAATCTCACCCAATTTAGATGTCTTCTTCAAAGGTCAAATACTTCTTGATGTTTATAAAAATGACATTATATGACTCGTGAGTCTTCTTTTATAAAATGTTCACTACCGGGTACTTTGTTGTTAAAAATATACTTTTATGGGGACAAAATTTTATGTAGCCTAACAAAAATTTCTTGTTTATAATATGTTAACACTAGTTCAGCTCTCTTGGAAGTGAGAAAGGTTTAGTTTAGGGCATTGTTGCACTCAATTCACATGACAACGCTGACTACCATATCTAACGTAGGTTTACATGTATAGGATTCGGGGAACACCCTTTAATCTTTACTTACTTCTGGTGGGAAAAAAATTTCTGTTGTAAACATTGAGAAATTGTTTCTAACATCAAAATGTTTCTTTTATAAGAAGTGTGTTTTTTTATAAACATTTGGGTACACTTCTATATCTGTTGGCACAAACAACAGAATGAGTAGGCCTAAAATTGACTACTCGATTGTTTAACTAAATTTGATATATCGTTTGGTACGTTAGGTTAGGTTAGCTTTACCTAACTAACCAAACGATATCGAATAATTGATATCAACATTTTAATTCAGTTGATTGTGCCAACAGATACGGAAGTGTACCCGCCTACCTTAATGTTCAGTTGCTAGCCTAATCTAATTTTTAATCTAATCATTTTTTTATGATTATAATTGATTTGATTAAGTGGATCCTTTCATTGGCGGATCAAACATCAAAAACAAAACCAATCAAGGTGAAGGCACAGTTTATTCTAATAAGGAACTAACTTAGAGACTAGGGTTATGTTATAGGCCCTACTTACATAAATGTTATTCCAGCTTTAGGAAAGTTTGGAAAGCGCTGGATATTTTTCTTTATTAGCTCCAAGTCACCTTTCTTGTCACACATATTAAAAAAATATTAGAGTAATGAAGTGTCTTGTAACGTATCTGCTGTATGCAAAATTACGTAATGCAGATTAGATTGAAGTGCCCTTCAATATTTTACTTAGATAAAATAAACAAACAACAAACATAACCTCAACTCAGCGCGGAGGGAGGACCAGCTCCCCAGCTGATTTATTTTGATTCAGCTGATCGAAGATCGAAGATGCCAACCGCCAAGATTTATTCTACTGATCCCAGTCTAATCGCTGTAGCATTGATTATGGGTTTTCTAGTTCTAGGTAACGTATTTTGACTTAAAGTCTCCAAACCTCCGTCTGCGCTGTATCACGGCCACCTTAAATACGGAGTTAAAGGTTAATGTGAGTTAATGTGTCATCACTCGTCATTGATCGATGGACGATGTTTGACTAACAGTTTGACATGATTCCTTAAAGAGATCCTTTCTTTATTAGTAACTAAAAATATCAGAACAAATCATAGCTCATTGTCAACATTTATGTATGTAAATAACAAAATTAAAGTGTCAACACCATTCTCCTGATTAATATCAAATAAACTAAGAAAAAGACTGATAACCACAAAAAGTGAACATTGGGGCCTCATGAATTTTAATCAAGGCCGTCACATTTGTGACATTTAGAAAAAAAAGAAAGAAAGAAAAAAGTTAGGTTATGTTGTTAGTTAGTTGTGACTTCACTTCACTTGTGTTCGTGTTGTTGTGTAGTGTTGTTAGTATCATAGTTGTTTTGTTTGAGTTTGACATTTTCTGTTCTGTTGTCTAGTCAGGATTGATTAGATAGATGCACATTATAATGTGTCATAAAGCAGCGTTAGAATTAGCCGTTAGACTTAATTCAAACACTTTCAAGTTTTCAATCCTCAGTAAATATTGTAATCTATCCTCAACCAACTATGAGGCAAATAAACTTGTTCTTAGTAATGTCACAAGGAAGTTCAGTGCACTCGTCCCGCAGCAATATCAATATAAAAACAATGACACCTCACAAATAGCCAGTTTAAATTTACTAAGTGAATCTTCAGTTAATAATCGCTCATATTGCTCCAAAAGAGAACGCGAACTGCCGAAAATCATGCAGTTTCCCCAAGTTGTATGGCCTAGTGTTTTTAAAACCATCCGTAACTGGGTCCTTTCAAATTTTATAATAATGCGTTATTTTGACAGCGACTTCAGTTTACCGAACTTTGTCAATGGCTCTAAACAGGTAGGGTAATAATCCTAAGGACTTTAGGCCTAATAATTTAGATTCAATGTAGTCCTAAGTTATTTGGCTATTTTAGGCTGCACTTTACGTCCTCCACTCATTCATATGAATACATCAATCTAAGATTATTTCATTCGATAGGTCCTATATCAAGTTTGGTTAGTTAGGTTAAAACCTAACCTAACTAACCAATTAAATTAATCGATAACTGACATTGATATTTTTCATTCAAATTGAGTGTAGGACGTAAAGTAAAGTGCAACCCTATTTTAGTGTTTACTAAGTTACCACGGCAAAACCTAGGGAAGCTTATAGGCCTAGTCCGTTCACATAATTTAGGCAGATCGAGGGAAGTTCCTCCACTACTTTTTTGCTTAGGCTAATGTAACTTATATGTTGCAGCTAATTTACGGCTTGGCAAACCTCAGCTGTTGTATTTCTACACCTAAAGCCACATACATTTTGTGAATGGGGTTACTTATAATATCCTCGTCAGTGGGACTGGCTTTTAAAACTGAACTTCCCAGAATACCTATGATATGCCTAGATTCTACAATATTCTACCAGAAGAACTGAAGTCTGTGTGTCCCAACCAAGTGAAATCTCATTTGAAGCAGTGGCTGTCCCAACGTCCTTTCTATAGCCTACTGTTAAAGAATTTATGAACTGGAGAGACCCTGTTACCTGAAGTATACGCCCTACACCTGTTAAATCTCACCTAACTTATTATAACAATAACATTACCTTGACGCCTGTTTTTGAAAGTGATTGTCTCTCTCTCTCCCTCTATGTCTATAAAATAACAGGTCTGGTGTGGAAAACTGTTAGTAGGCCTATGTAGCCTAATCCAAAAGTGTTACAGTTAGGCCTACCTAAGTTAGGTATGTGCAGCAAAATATGTTACCTAAATAATTAAAGACACCTTTGTGTCATGTCACATGATATTTTACCTACTTTCCTGTACCTTACTTTAATCTTAAATGGCGACCATACGAATGTAGGCCTAAGGTAGCCTGTATTAAGTAACTTATGAATGGAAATGAGTGGCGCAATATTGTAGTCTTGTTAGTGACTAAGACCCACATTTTTCCTTAGACACAGCTTTTTATTAATAGCCCATACAGCCAATGGCAACTAAGGGACCTACAGTTTAGAATTTGATAGTGTTGGTAGAAAAACCCTTTTTCAGCCAGTATAAAAGAGTGGCTCTTGATCGCCAATCAGTTCAAGGTGATCGCTGATCACACACCTAGAGATATGCCTTTACTAAAAACCTTATGGGATAACCTAAAGAAAAAAACAAACGTTTTAAAAATTCATTACTGTATCTAAGACTTATATAAATTTTGTCTTTAATTATTAAAATCATTAACCCTTTCTCGTATCCACCTAGTTCGGCAAGCAACTTAATCTACTCTTCATCACTATCCCTTTTAAAAGCTAATTCTTATTGTATGTTCTTCTAGCATTTGGCCTTAACATATAAAACCTAAAGCCAGCTGAGATTTAGCCTACTTAACGAAAAAATTAAAGAATTTAACCAAACCGGTCAAAATTGGGCAGTTAATTAAATCTTATGACGAGTTAATCTAAACTAGCTCTAACGGCGAGTATTGAAATCTTATTTTGTCAGTTAAGAGTTAGCTACCTACAGTTAGAGCATGGTTTAATGGTGGTTTAGTGTTTGATGAAATCGGGCCTTAATCACACAATATTTTAAGCTGTGTTTGTAATTAACAGAAACGTAAACATTGATGATGCCTTTGTATAATCTCAAATTATGCGGTCTAATTTGGTACCTACCTAACAATTATACTGATTTCCACAGTATAAGGAAATTGTTGCCCATCAAATGGAGTGAAAGTGTCTTTTTGGTACCTACTTAAGTTAATCATATTTCCAAATACGATTCAGCTGCGCCATGCTTGTAAAATATGATTGCGTAACAAAAAGAGCTACTTTTGCTCCTGGTGATGAAAACTACTATTACCGTACTGAAACTGTCAAGTCAACCTGGTACTGGGATTTAATAAATAAGTACCGGTGTGAAGTTTGTCTCCCACAAAAAACTACATACAATGAAACACTAGGATGCACAATGTGTCATTAGGATGTAGAGAACTATAACTGGCTTCTTGATCCAGTAATGTTTCAATGAGTTTATTCATATTTATTAGGTAACATGACATTGTAATTTAGAATTTAGAATTTTATCATGTTGTGTAAAAAAGTGCAATTTTATCAGCAAAAGCAAAAATATTTCTGTTAAAAGGCAGATTTAAGAGCTCGTTAATAAACACTAAAAAATACCCCCGCCACAGCAAACCTGCCGACTAAGCAAATTTTTATTTGTCTGAGTTGTTATACAATTAAATCTATTTAAATAACATTAGGTTTAACGAGTACATCTAGGTTTGCGGCCACAAGGATACTAATAATGTATATATTTTTGAAAAAGATTATTAGCTTTAGTATAAAAATATAAATTTGCTTAGTTTAATAAAAATATATCCATAAACAAGCAAACTACAACATTTCTCCATAAGAATAACATTTTAATTTTAAATTTACAATTTTTTGAATTTTCTCCGTTACCAATAACCATACAATAACACTTTGATGTACTAAATTATTTGTTTTTTAAGCTAATGTTCTAATGAGAAATTGGGAAATTTTATGTCTTGAGGGTCGAAAATGAGAAAAACCATTTTTAACCCATAAAATCCCCTGTAAAACCCCGTTCCCATGGTCCGATCATGCTGGTTCGGGAACTCTTACAAGTCTATCCCGCCTTACACCTTTAAACTTTATTTGATCAAAATCGGAAAAAAATTACTCAAGTTATTGCGTTCACAGACGTATAGGCTGTATATATATAAGTTATATACCGTATTTTAATATTGGTTTTATAAATACATATTTGAATTTGTTAATCATCCACTGGTTCTCATTCGCCTTTTGTTATCTCAGTTCTGGTACTAGTATACTTTCATTGAAACAGGTTTCCATAAATAATACTTAGGCTAGTTATTAAGAAGCCACTACAAAAGTGATACCTTGAGTACAACACTATATTTAGTGTGGTAGTGTGCAAACATAGAGTCAGTGTAGTTTAAAGATTGTTTCAGCTTTTGGAAGAAATAAACAGTACCAGGGACATCCCATAAGGACATGTGGGGATAACTTTACTATACAGGGTCCACTGAATTTTTATTTAACATCAAGCTTCCACTGCCAACGCTCTGTTGAAATATTTTTACCTAACCCACCATGTTAAACTTTGCTATCCCAAGCGTGATGTATACAACTTCCTTACTTCTCGAGTGTAGTAAAATATCAAAAACTCACTCGGTGATGTAAAGAAACCCATTTAAATAACATTGAGTGCTTAACTTAAAAAATATACCTCTATGGAGCCAACGACATTCAACGCTAGAAATCAGCTGTGCACTTGAATGTTATTGTTATGCTTTAAAGTGTTTTCCTAACCTAGCTTTTGTTTGTAAAAGAACGTTACTGTTAGAAGATGAGTGAAATGGATAGTGAAAAATATTGTATTGTAACCCTATGTATATTGTCGGGTCAGGTAAAATCTTGTACGTTACACGTTAGGCCTACGCAAGAGCGTGTTTACATCACTTAGGTGAATTACATCACCTGCGTGATGTAAAAATGCTCTTACTACACTTGTAATGTAAATAGCTATTATTCACTCTGTTCTTCCAACCCAGGGGAAACCAAAATTTGTAAAGAATCAGTCAATTTAGAGTTGTGAGTACTAACTAACAAACAATTGTGTGTTAGTGAGGTGTGAATAACAGGTGTGAAAGTAAATATTATTCTTTGAAAGGGAAATCAACAAGTTTCTGATTTTTCTTTACAAATTCTTAAATAATTGTTTGGCTTTTTAGTTTTTGCTGTCTTAAGCCATAATTTAGATAATAGTCCTTTACCCGGTATTTGTATATTTAAAAAAAATGAACAGTATTTCCACTCTAAAAATGTTTTCTTTTCGTCAACTATTCCCACACAGTCAGGTAAATACTCTGTGTATTTAAAAAATACATCACTGACAACCAAGAACCTGGAAGGTGGTGTCTCTCTTTTTTCACAAACAAAACAAACAAATGTGGGTCAAGGAAACATCAGCACTAAAATGGCCAAGCACTTAAGGTTGCAACATTAAGGTTTACCTTATTTCTGTTTTAGGCGGTAGAGATTGTGTCTGGTTTCATCGCCAAAGGAGATGTGGATAGCTTGGTGGGTCTGGTTACACCTGAAGTCATTACGCAGGTGCGAGAGACAATGCAAACACTCTCACTCAAAGAACGACAGGAGTTTGCTATCCGACAAGATGACATATTTTTCTGTTTTCCGTACGAGGTCGGGGTAATGTTCCCTAATGAAGACAGTGAGTGTTTAGTTCTACACTGTACAGTTAAACCCCGCATTCTTAAGTGCTGTTAAGTGATAATTTATTAATATTACCTAGTGAATCAGAAACACAACAGTAAATATCTCATTGTTTAGCCTAAACTGTGAAGCAGATTTGTTGAAAAAAGCTTGCAATGTTTCAAAACTAATAAATAAATATAAAACACTAAACAACTAACTTAAATTGTACTGAACAAAGATAACTTTTTTTTCCCAATTCCAAGGTGACCCTTGGAAGGTGAAGCCTCCCATCATGGTGTGTTCTACGTTGTATGATCTCATCCCGGACAGAAAGCCTCTCGCACAGAGTAGTACTTCCAGGCTACAATTGATATAAAACATGTTGTATTATGTATTTATTTATTTTGATGTTTGGCATGTTGCACGCTTTGACAATGTTGCCCTCGCAATAAAATTAGTCAGCACATGATGATGGAAACTATGAACTACAGACGGAGGTAATATAGCCTATTTTGTCATAAAGGAGTTTGAGCTATAAATATGGATTGTTAGTTTGTTGTTTCTTAAGTCCATTAGTGGTCAGGGTTTTTATAAATGATTTAAAACCAGTTGTTATTTTCATCTATATCGCACTTTGATGAACACTTTGATAAGATCCATTATATACTTCTACACCAGCTTGCTCAGGCCCAAAGTTTACATGTGATGCACTATAGACCTACTATGTCATTGTGGCCTCCTCCTACCCTTCCTTGCACCCCCAACAAACCTAAAACCTCTTGCACCCCTGGGTCCGTGGCTATTTACTTAAGAGTCGGTAGGATTCAATCATTTTGCATTGTTGTTGCCTGTCAGATGCTAAAAAGTGGTCGTCTAAGCACCGATCAGAAAAAACATGCATTCACGCTAAAGCATATTAATCATGCACCGTAAGCTTGATTATTGAGCAGAAAGTTTTATGCGATTCTTAAATATATTTTCCATGTGAATTTCTTTTTGGATTTTTAAAATTTTTGTTTTAGAGGTTGAACAAAAAATCACAGTATAAGCCAGTGGCGGATCCAGCTTTAGATTGAGGGGGGCGAGATAAGAGGTGAAGTCCCCCCCACATCGTCATTGTCTCCTGCGGTCACAGGAAAACCCTGAATTACTCCCGCGGTAATGGTACATCATCATCGTCTTCTGCGATCGCGGCAAAATCATGAACAACTCCCGCTGTCCTGTATATATTATCCGTCCATTATCGTCGTCATCAGCACAGCGCGCACTTAGTCGACCGTCCTTTTTAACTTTATTGATAAATTCACTTAGAAATTTATTAGAATCCTTAACAAGTTAAAAGTTAATTATAACAATGAAATAGAGCTAACTAAGTAGGGTCAGGTACCTTTACTCTGTGTTAGCTATGTCCCTACCCTAACATAAATTCTTGTATCTTAATATTGTTGCTTCTAACTCAGAATTTAATAAACGAGTGCTTTTTAGTGATCAAAGTTAAAAATTTGTTCAACGTAGGCCAATTATTTCATAGTTATAATTTTACAGAAAATGAAGGCGAAAACCAAAGCAGATTCGTGGAGATAACAATGTGCTATCACGCGTTGCTCGGACTGAGAGAGCTACGAGAGTCAGGCACTGAGATACCAATAAACATCGGGGTTCAGCCAGAGTTCAGTGATAAAATCTTTGTCCTCAACTACCGTTTCATCCGAGAGTTCACTAAGGGAGTGCAAGACGACTGGACGATCAATGCCATCAATCACTTCAAACCTTCTGTACATATGTAGCCATAGCAATAGTTAAGTTTGTAAAATAAATTATATAGCTATTACAGATTGTTTTTCTAAAAGCCCTAGAAGGATCTAAGAAAAGAAAATACCCCCGCCGCAGCAAACCTGCAGACTAAGTGAATTTCCGTTAACCTGATTGGATTTACACTCAAATGCCTCCATAAAAATATCACATTTATATCCTATTTAAATAGAATTAGTTTAACGAGTACTTAGGTTTGCTGCAACAGGGAGGGTAAAAGTATCTTTGTAAAATGTTTATAGTTTAGTAAGAAATGAAAGTATTTTCCTAATTCGATCAAAATATGTTCATAAACAAGCAAACTACAACAGTTGACTTATTCTCAATAAGAATAACATGGGAATTTTTAATTTACAATTTTTTGGAATTTTCTCTGTAACCATTAGGCGCACTACAACGCTTCAATATACTAAATTATTTGTTTTTTTTTAAGCTCTACAAAATGGTTTGGAAATAAATTGTAAAATTTTCTGTTTTTAGGGACAAAAATAGGAAAAACCTATTTTTACCCCATAAAACCCCATATAAAACCCAGTTCCCATAGTCCGATCATGCTGGTTCGCGAACTCGTTCGAATAAATGTGGGTTTACACGTTTATACCAAATTTAATGTTCAGTATCTGACTTAATCATAATAAAAAAAAAAAAAATAACGGTAACAAATGTAATTGATCAAAATAGTAATTTTAATAATGAGATGCTTTTTTCTCTTACAAAATAATTAATACTAGATAACCTGTTGCTCGAAATCGAGCAAAACTGCAACTTGTAATAAAATAATGAAGAACAAAAAAAATAAACAGCGAAACCTCAATCATAGAGTCGCTCTAAAGTAATTTCTATGAATGATTATAGAATTTATGTGAAAAATATTTACTGCTTTGGTTATCTCTTATGTACTGTAGGCGGGTACCCTCTATGAAAACGTAGATGTCACCCACACACTGTAAAGTGAGCTTTTCAGACTTATAGTAGCAAGCTAAATGCCTATCTTGACGCCAACCAGTTTTGACTCGTACTATAGCATTGTTAAATTATTTCTACAATATGTTATGTTTTAGGCGTGTTTAAATTAGGTGCCCCAACCCAAGTCTCCGGTTGGGAACATAAGAGTAAATTTAAAGACATGTCTAGAACGGATTCACTTAAGTAACACTATTAGTAAAAACAAATATTTTTTCCAGGTGGTGCTCTGTTTTCAGCTTTAAAATAGCTGCGACATTTATACAGGTAGCATCATTGTAGCGAGGAAAGTAACTTCTTTTGTCTCTTACTATGCACATAAGAATCTAACTTGAATCCTCCCTCGGAGCTCTCGTCCCTACAAATTTCTGCCACAGTTAAAAGATTGGGCAAATGGGTTGGCACTGTGACCCTATTTCCCGCATATTTATTTTCATTGCACTTTTTGTATGAATTGTTTTACATGCGCTGTAGGGTTCCAGTGCCAACGTCGTACCGATGATACTTATAGATCTGTGCGTATTCAGGATCATGATCTTCTTGAGGAATTAGATTACCTAAAAGGTAAACGTATCATGGATCTTAAAATTTTAGATCCCCTGTGTGACCCTCTCATCAAAATGAGCTTCAGAGCTGACCATGACAAAGGCGGAATTGAATTGACAAGTTTTATCCATATAATTGCTGGATTCAAGCCTCACAGTCCTGTTTTTAGATTGGGAGTTTCCAATAAGTTCCTGAAAGTATGGAGAATTCCGCAAATGATGTAAACGAACATATGAACCTTTCATTTAAGGCAACAAAGAGTAAAAATTTAACTGTCTTGGTCAATCTTTTCATGCTTAAAATGTAAGCCACCACAATGTAAAAATGTAACGTTCGTTTGTCCGAGATTGTATGTATCACCACGGGCGGTACTGCCACTCTGTATCCGTCAAATTGGGAGGTTCGGTGCAAGCAGTCACGTTTGTGTTCCCTCCAGCCACTCACAGTTCTTCGTCTTAGGCCTACTTGGGGGCATTTAATTTTAAATTTAGATAAAATACGAAAGTTAACCAATCAACAAAAAACACTACAAAGGAATTTTGATACACATTGTAAATTACATGATAATATGGTAATGTAACAGGTAACTGCACTGTAAATAATCACTTTCAAACATTCACTTAATCACACCGAACTGTAACCAAAACTAAATGAATTCAGTAAAGTACGATGTAAGTTAAATAGATTCAACTATTACAAACAATTTGTTGTCAGGTCTTGCTAGGAAACTCTTTTTTTATGAACCAGACTTAGTTAATAGATGTTTAAATAAAAATATAAAATTCCGGCTTAGCTCTGGAAGTAATAAGTCCTGCAGTCTAAAAACTATTTCAAACTACGTCCATATGTTTAGTTGTAAACAAAGGGAATTGAGTTTGATGGTTTGATCTAATGTCAACAGATAGCGCCACCGTTCCCAAACTTTAGCCCTAAACTGTACTTAACTGATGTCCTTTCTTAATATTCTGAGACGTATTTGCACATCTACGTTAAAATACCTTTAATTTGACACCTCAAACGTTAAAATCCGTCAAGCCGTTATTGAGTTATGACTGTGAAAAGAAAACTGCTTCGTATTAATATATAGATTAAAGGAATTTCATACAGAATGTCAACTTTACCTTTGCAATGTGTATAGTGTAACAATTTAAAAGGAAATGGCACTACCAAGAAAGTGAGAGACAAAAAATCTAATTTAGTTTGTAAAAATAATTATATTTAAAACAAAAACAATAGTTTTCATGGTAAAACAGCAAAGTTAAGAATACATTAAAAATATGTCTGATGCAACTTAACTATGAACAATTTGAAAACACCTACTATTACAAAGATTCAAAAAAATTGGATGAATCTTACCTCAACACTTCATTAAAACCATGATTACTGATGTGTAGAAAAAATTTAGAAACAACTACAATAGTATGCTCTCTCTTGTTTGGTCCGGATGACAATAAGCATGATCCAAGAAGGACTCTCTTACAGACGGCTACTATGCCCATAAAAATTTTATTCACAACCCAATTGTCTAGCACATTAGGTTGTACAGATCTTGTCACTGGTTTTCCTTTTTTTAGTTTGGTCAGTTGTACCAATGAATACAAACCCTTTAAGAAGCTAAATGCTTATAGAGAATAGTCAGACTGGAATTTTGCCGCAAAAATGAGCTTCGCGCGGCCGCCGCTACTGCCGCTCGGGTGGCGGCCGCACTTATCCCTCTCTCTCTTAAAGCCAATTCTATGTCTCATTCTCTCTCACTCAGTCAGCTGACTTGGCCGCTGGAACTATTCGAAATTCAAATATTACCAGACTGAACTTAAAACAAAGGCATTGTGCTTCTTATAGGCCTTGTATTCATTGGTTGTACTGTACTTATGAAAATGTTTGCTAGCTTCTGATGGTTTACACTTTTTTAATGTTGACAAGGTGGATTTTTTTCTGAACGAGAGGGAGTCTACTGTGTATATACCTTATAAATGTTATCACTAAACATAAAATCACATTGGATGAGAATCTGGAAGAGACAAAGAGTTATGACCCCAGCATTGTTGGGTTGAGTATGGGGTCGTAAGTCCCTGGGTTGTGCCACAGCTGTCTCTGTATGATGGGACAGTTGAGGGTAAACTCACAACTGTCGTGAGGTCCACTTACAAATCCCTCGTCTTCTCTTCTCAGTCCGTTGATGAAGACAGTGATGTACAAGCAACTCTAAAACAAAGCAAAAAATCTTGTAAGTGTTAGTAATAGGTGTAATGGAAAGAAAATAATCATATCAATCAGTAATAGGCCTGTCTAGTTTGCTAGTAATGGAACTGTATAGTTTGTCAAATGTCAGTAAATAGTACTGTCTGGTTTGCCAGTGCAAGTAATAGGCATGTCTGGTTTGCCAGTGCAAGTAATAGGCATGTCTAGTTTGTCAGTTAGTAATGGAACTGTCTAGTTTGTCAGGTGTCAGAAAATAGCCCTTTCTGGTCTGGTTTGCCAGTGTCAGTAATAGGGCTGTCTAGTTTTCCAGAACCAGTATAGGTAATGAGTCCGTCTAGTTTGTCAGTAATAGTCCTGTCTAGTTTGCGGATTATTGACGTCCAATTAAGAAACTATGTCTCTTCTGAGGCTGTGGAGAGGAGGGGTTGCCACAGGGTAAGACCTGGAACCAATCCTTTTCCTTTTGTTCATCAATCTACCATCTACCATCTAGTGAATGGACAATAAATGCCTATTCACGGACGACACTTGCCTAACTATGTCCAAACCTTGTATGTAGGAACAGGAACTTGTCACCTTTATTGAATCAAATTCTCTTCTTCAGTGGTGTGAGGAAAATAACCTAAACTGGAATGCTCAAAAGACCCAAATCGTCCAGTTTTGTATTTCTAACCGGCAGTCAAAACAGTCCCACCAGGACTTCAACATTCTCCTTAACGATACCACTATCCCTCGTTCTGAAGAAGTCAAACTCCATGGTCTAGTCCTTGACAAAAACCTTGCATTCCACAGCCACATTGAGTATGTCAGCAAGAAAGTATCTGTGAATGGCTTCATGCTGAGAGTCCTTAGCCAGTCAGCCACCACTTATGACCTATTATCAGCCTACTATGGGTTTATTTATCCTTATCTGACAAACGCTGTTTCTCTTTGGAGATGCTCGAGCGTGAGGACTTAGAAGGGCAATCCGAATTGTGTTTTTTCTTCCCAAACATCAATCATGCAGAGATAATTACAGATCATTTAAAATTTGAGCTTTCCCATACGTTTACATCTTAGAAACTTTTATCTTTCATCCTCAAGAAAAGTATTTTCTCTTTCTTTTCTACAATAAACTCCAGGTGTATTCATTTTGCAACATATTAAATTTACTCACTCCTGAGTATTTCCCCTTTTTTCCCAAAGAATCTACCACTACAATTCTGTTAAACAGATCTATAGTCTCCTGCCTCGAGTGAAGGCTGAAAAAGATTTCACAAAATTTAGGAGAGGTCTAAAAGGTCCTTGAAGTTGAACGGAACTTTCTACAGTGTCTGTGAATACTTCAGTGGTCAAATACACTGACTTTATAATATGTATCATAGTTATAGTTTTGAGTAGGTTTCAGTGTCAGTAATAGGCGTGTATAGTTTACCAGTGTCAGTGTATGATCCAGTCTAGCTTATCCGTGTTGGTAATAGGCCTGTATAGTTTGCAAGTGCAAGTGATGGGTCTGTCTAGTTTGCAAGTACAAGTGATGGGTGTGTCTAGTTTGCAAGTGCAAGTTATGAGTCTGTCTAGTTTGCCAGTGTCAGTAATGGGTCTGTCTAGCTTACCAGTGTTGGTAATAGGCATGTCTAGTTTGCAAGTGCAAGTGATGGGTCTGTCTAGTTTGCAAGTGCAAGTAATGGGTGTGTCTAGTTTGCAAGTGCAAGTGATGGGTCTGTCTAGTTTGCCAGTGTCAGTAATGGGTCTGTCTAGCTTACCAGTGTTGGTAATAGGCATAGGCATGTCTAGTTTGCAAGTGCAAGTAATGGATCTGTCTAGTTTGCAAGTGCAAGTAATGGGTCTGTCTAGTTTGCAAGTGCAAGTAATGGGTCTGTCTAGTTTGCAAGTGCAAGTAATGGGCATGCCTAGTTTGCAAGTGTCAGTAATGGGTCTTCTAGTTTGTCAGTGGCATAAAAAAGAGCCCGATTGTTGCCTATTACTGCGCTTAGGAGGGTCCAGCATTAACATTAACAATTCTGTAAAATATCTTGGCCTAACCATCAGTTATAATCTTAGATGGCACCAACATATCGATAATACATCTGTGAGACTTTTGGCAGTTTGCTATATGGTTCGAAGGCTCCAGTCACTCCTGGAAAAAGAGGTGCTAATGAATATATATCATGGCTGATATCACAGCATCATTGGAAAATATTTTCGCCATGAGGAAACAGCTCAGCTGCCCAACAAGAACTTTCTTTTGTATATTTACCGTCTTGTGAGTAACAGTATAAGCGTAAATATATGTTTTAAGTGTTATAAGACGTATCTTATACTTTCCACAACAAGAACTTGCCTTACACAAATTAATAAAAGGACAATTTTCTAAGAACCATTTCTCGCTCATTGTAAGCCATTCATTGTTTGGAAAGGTCAAGGTTCTCACTATGACATACATTTTCATAGCAGAGTCAACACTTAGTATTAAAAAAAACTATTAAAAAAAAATTCAATTCCAAAACTACAGTACAAGGTAATGCCCTAACGTCCACCAAACCCAAGTAAATTTCATCTTAGTAGAAAATGGCTCTAAGATGTGCTCCAAGATGTTGACCAAGATCTCAAAAGAAATGATATACATTGAAGATGTAGAAAAATTCAAGATTCTATTCAGGGAGTATCTATTGAAGAGGCAGTACTACTTACTGGCAGAGTACTTTGGGAAGAATGTAAATAACCACTATTTTGACTACCACGGCGCAGTGATGCTTCCAGTAGGAGATCTTCAAGTATCAAGTAAGTAACAGGTCTGTCTGGTTTTCCAGTGTCAGTAATAGGCCTGTCTAGTTTGCCAGGGTTATCATAGTATAACACTGATAATATGCCTATCTAGTTTTTCCATTGTTTCATAATCTTTATTGCATATTATGTTTATGAATAGGGTAAATGAAGAGTGAATCGCCAAAGCTGATAAAAAGATTAATGTTCAAGCATGGTGATTGTGTGAGGCCAAAACACAGTGTATTGTATACTACTGAACAACTGCCAACGACGTATTGAACACATTTTTGTGGGTAGTATAATGCATTTGAAAAAATGTATTTAAACTGTTTAGATACAACATCAGAGATGAATAATTCGGATAGCAGTGTTCTCCATTTGATTATGTGTAAATCAGGGTCATTCAATTTAAGTTTACAGCAGCTATTATAACTGCTGTTAGTTTGCCAGTCAATATATAAATAAAATATAATAATGATATTACAGTACATACCTTAACCCTTTGTAGATTGTGTATTGTAACTGTTCTATGCTCTACAGCCAACTTAACATCCTGAAAAAATCATGAAAGTTGTTTAAAAACGAGTTAACATCATTTTCACAACAGAGCACATTCAGTATAACTTTTAACAGTATATACAATTCAAAGAGGCATTATTTATTATTTATATTATTATTATTATTAATTATAATATTATTTATCCGGCATAACTGACTTACTTGACTTTTGCTACTACACAAGCCTAGTGAACGTATTAACAGGGGCAAGTTTAAGTATTCAAGCGATAATAACTAACATAGTTTGGGATTAAACCTTACCTGGGAGTTGATTTCAACAGAAAAGTTGTAAGTAAAGTCCTCAGGGAACTGCAAATCAACTGAATTCAAGAAACAATTCTTGTTTTTGGTAATGTAAATGGTGAATCCTTTGTTGATCCTTTTGAAATAAATCTTTTTCTCTACCTCAAAATCAACCTCTGATCTTAGTTTTTCTTCTAATTGTGCATTCTCTGAAACAAAATTTGATTCTGGTAATGGTAATTTAAAAACAAACACTATCTATTTAAATATAGTTAATTTTTACAAGTAAAATCATTATTACAAATAAAAAGCTGCAAAAATAAATATATTCATTCATTTTATATTAATTTAATTAGCTACATTTTTATTGGGAAACAATTAGAATCTTACCAACAACAGGATCGGTGAGGCTGCAATTGTCAGCTCCACTAAAGAAGATGGTTGGCTGTTGTTGTTTTTCCCTAAAATCTGACAACAGATAAAATAGCATAAGCTTGAAATCTTAAAACAAATATTCAGTGCCGGATTTAAGCATGGGTGACATAGCCGCACACCTAGAGGCCTGCACAACGATTACAATAATGTCACTTGTTATGCTAGATAGTTGATACAAGACCATGATTGTGAATGTACATAGTTGATGCATTCACAATGGTTGATGCGAGGAGCCACACCTGCAAGTGTGTGAGCAAGTTTTACCTTACATAACCTGAGTCATAAATGAGTGATGAACGATATTAAACTTGTCTAATAATTTAAATTTTCATGTCTATATGGGTCCAAACATTATGAAAAAACTAACAAAGCATTAATATTTAGAGGCCAGACAGTAATAACAAATTCGTACCAGTTGTTTCCAAATTTTCTTGGGGGAGGGCTGCCTTTTCATTGGATGCTATTCTTTACCATATGGGGTTTTGAGTGAAAAGGTATAAATATGTATGGAACACTTTCCTCAGAGATACAAATCAATAAAACACCTGTGATACAGCAATTATTTTTAGCATTAAGTGATTACTTTGTCTCAAACAAAACCCAAAATTGCTCATTCTTACTCTTACATACATTTATACTGGTACTTGCCTCTTTGATTAGCCCGCAGCACCTCTATGATGGGTAGATTGTCTTCCAGATGTTCTCGTAAATGGTTGACAAACAAGCCATTGGCGTCTGCATCGCTCTCGTAAGCGTTCTGATAGTTTCTGGTTGCAGTTCCTAGAACAATGTTGCAGTTGCCTAGGTCATGCTCAAACTCAGTCCTCCCGATAGATAAATCTCTGCAATAAAACAGCTGTTTAACAAATGCTATCTATGCAACAGCAGCGAAAGATAAAAACATCTCCATTGGACGCTGGTGCTGTGCTAATAGAAAGCTGAAACAAACAAATTTAGTAAATAATTTGAAATGCTTTTATGTAAAAAAAAATCTTCCTTAAGGGATATTCCTTAAAAATTTCCTTAAGGGTAGGCTTATCACAGTATAGTTTCGCTAAACTGAACCCTGGCTCTATCTTGGTGAAAGTATCTTGTATACTAAAAAAATTTTGCAAAATATATGACAGCTGTCTGGCCATACTAATGGACCGAATTACACGCGGTTGGTACCAAATGAGATATTTTCGTATAGATATGCAGAATCCCTTGCAGAAAATATGCAGAAAAATAGGCTAAAAAATAATCACAAAAAGAAAAAATGGATTTAAAATATAAAAAAAATTAACATGGGTCTAATGGGTTGCCATGTTAGTGACGAAATAACAACAAAATATAAACAGAAAATCAAAACAAGTGGAAGACATTCCAATCACATGTTTTATTTACATCGTGGGGTACGAGTTTAGAGAAGTTTGCACAATACATACTTTTGGTCGAGTTTTTGACCACGGAGCAAGCTCTCGTATTATATTAAAAACAAAACAGCCAGACAAATTCATATAAAATAATTATTCATTAAATTGATATTATGGCTTGGCCAGTAAACAAACATTGAACCTGTAACTGACAAAAATTTTAATCTGGTAATGAGTTTGTACAGAATTGATTCTTTATCCTCGGTTTTCAGTTTCATACTATCTTCATTCATAGTATTTATAGAAGCCAAAACAAACAATGTATGAAATACAAAAACCGAGTTTTATTAAAACAATATTGAAATTGGACGCAATTGAACATATAGTTATTTATCAGTGTACCTTGACTCTACAAGACAGCAGTCAAACAGCATGACGAGTAGTTGCAGTTGCTCTCCTTGTGCTAAAATCTGAGTCAGCTGTTCATCACACAGACAATCATGAAGCTGAATCTCCTCTTTGGGACAGTCTATGGGCATCATGAACTTGGATGCTAGCTTGGAGAACCCGTGCCCAGCAAAGTAGAAGAAGGCTGTGTGACAAAAACTAGTTTCATGAAGGAATCAAAATACTTTTTGAGGCACATAAAACACAGAGAGCTATTTTAAGGTATTGACCTAATAGACTACTGGACTGTAATCTTTCTGGAAAGAATGTCTGTTGTTTAGTTCAGTAATAATATCAATCCCTCAGATACTTGGGCTATGCACTAGTAAGAGCCTAGCTGTCATCTAAAATTAAAATTACATTTTCGATTTTACCATAGTGATCGTCTATGTTAGTTAAATAACAAAGTGCTAATACCCACAGAGAAGTAAGAAACATTAGAATACACTTAAGTGGTGCCTAGCTAGCACCAGGCACTAGTGTTGAGAGTGAATTCTATTTGTCCTCCCCTCCTGCTCCCCTTCCCACCTTCGCCATCACGTACTACAGCGCTCATGCTGAAGGAAGACCTGTGCCCTTACAACCAGGGCCGTACTTAGAATCTATGAGGCCCCCGGCGGCTCTTACCAGAGAGTCCCCTCTCCTTATTCTGATTCTTTAAAGGTTATAATTTAAAGGCTTATAAATACACGTTATATTGCTTCAACTTGATGAATTTCATTTTTGTTTCCAACAATTGGATAAACAAAAAGACCTAAGAGACTAGCTAATAAATAAGTCTATTAATTTTTTGCGCGAGCGCTTAGACTTAGTCTTAGTCTCCGATCACGGCGGAATCACGAACGACTCATGTGGGCACGGAGAAGTGGTGAACATCTTGTGCGATCGTGGATAAAATCATCTTCATCTCCTCCGACCACGGTGAAATCAAATAAGGTGATGGCCGCGGAGAAATAGTTAGCATCTTGCACGGGCGCTGAGACGTCATCTTCGTTTCCTACGATCCCGAAGGAATCATGAACGACTCATGTGGCCGAGGAAAAATGGTAAACATCTTGCGTGATCGCGAAAATATAATCTTCATCTTCTCCGTTCATGGTGAAAACATGAACGTCTCCTATGGCTGCGGAGAAATAGTTAGAATCTTGCTCAGGTACTGAGACGTCGCTTCGTCTTTTCCGAGCGCGGCGGCCACGGAGAAATGGTTAACATATTTCACGGCCGTGTAGACATCATCTCCCGCAGTCACGAAAACGTGAGTGTCACCTTACGCAATAACGGTGAAATCATGAACATCTCCTGTGGCCAGTTAGACATAATCATCGTCTCCCGTGTTCACGAAAACTTGATCGTCATCTTCCACGACAACGGCAAAATCATGAACACCTCCCGCGCCCGTGTTAACATCATCTTCGTCTCCTGCGGTCTTTGAATTTAACCCCTACTTAACAAATTCTCTGAGCCTTTCCCCCCCCCCCCCCACAATATAGGCCTACTCGTCGGACCTACAGAGTCAATCTAAAAGTTAGGCAAAATTTCCAAAACCGAAGGTGAGGATAACGAAAGCTCCACCTGAGCTTCTGCAGGATATCCTGAGCACCTCTAAAGCTCTGAACCTTAATTTGAATTAAAATAATTAATAAATTAATTAGTCAAAACTGTGGAACAACCTTTGTATCTATCCCTGGATTTTGTCGGTTCTTTCTGAGTACTCCGGGGAAGAAATTAGAGTGTGGCTTGGTCCTAGGGGTAGGCCTAGCCTGTTCAGTAAATACAATTATTGTATTCCCCACTCAGAATTTACGTCAAAAACTATTTTTACTCTAATACTGATTTGTTGACTAAATCTATTGCATGCACCCATGTTTGAATATGATAATTTAAAATTTGTTGCTCTTGATATTATAACTCACTCCACTAACCATAGGCGTTCTCTGGAAGAATGCTGCAGAACCAGCGGAAAGCGTTGTACATTTCTGTCCGAGTTAGGTTGTGCAGTGCTACAACATGGAAGCCGAGACGGGACAATATTGAGGCGAGAACTGCGACGTCGTTACTGGGAGCATGCAGCCCTTGCAGTTCTGCATCGAGGTAATCCTCGTTGCCTATCAGCAAAGCCACCTTGGCACTTGCTAGTGGACGGATAAAATATTTAAATTTACATTTTATATTGAACATTGGGTTGATTTACTTTTACAATTCCCTTTGGTTCGTTAGTGGGACTTTGATGGAACTGCACCAGGTGTTTAACAAAATATCAAGACTATTACAATCTTCATTTCTTTGCGACGACAAAGTGGTCAGTGACCATGAAACATATAAATTTTGTGTCCAAAGATATGCCTGCTTTGCCTAATAAAAACTAAATCAGACCTGCATAATAGAGCCCTTTAACAAGAATATCCAACTATCAAGTGAATTTTATCTTTGAGTATAGTTGCACTCCTCTGAAGTAAAACTACCATTTTTATTTTTAGCTGTGCTTAAATGTTTTATTGTCATTAAATGTCGTTTCTGACTTGTAGACAAACTCTTTAAAAATGTCCATCTAAAGACACATTAGTGTGAACTGAAGCATCGTAAAAATAAACACAGTAGGTATACAAAACCTTAAGAGAGAATAGTATTTTTATATTGTATACTTCATAAGTGAATGGAGACTAATTGACATTCTACACTGATACTATGACAAAATAAGAAAAGCAAGAGCTGGCAGTTTTAAATAGGCATCACCTGTTTCTTTGGTTTTGATTAACAAGAAATATAGTTTTAACGATTACATACAACAAATGCTTTTCAATTTTATGTAAGATAAACAACTCTTACCTAAGTAGTCATCTGGAGGTCTTTCGAATACCTGTAGAAGGAAAAATAAAGATAAACTGTACGTTAAATAGTATATTTCGTACCTAGGGCCGAAAATGAGGTTTTGCCGGCTCGAGACAGTTTTTAAACAGCTGCAAACCCATTTCGGTCCGTGGTACGAACGCTATTTTTCACCACACTTTACCCTATTACCACTATTCACCACTATAATAATGCACACTGATAGTCAACACAACTACAACTTTAAGGTTATGTGAAGAAATAATTTGAGGAATCAGCAAAAATAAAAATAAATAGTTGCTAGGCAACGGTGACAATAACACAATTATATTGCAACTAGTGGCTTGTAGGGGCAATAGCCCCTATATTCTATAGTAATTACTTTTACAAATTATTAGTCTCATGGGTTACCCTACCTACCTTGAATTATCATTTAACTTTTTTTATTATGATATGTATAATAGTTATTACATACCTGCAAAATGCGTTTTGATGTCTGCTCTATTTAAAATACAAAATTCCAAAGGACATGTGGTGTGTTTATAATATAAACTTTCAAATCATAATACAACTAAGGAACATTTTCCAATAACATTCTTCATGACTATTAAATAAATATATATAGATTTCTTTAAATATAGACAAATTCACTTAGAAAAACACATAAAGAGATAATGTCATCATCCAAATTGTAAAATGCTAATTCATCTAACAAAATCTCTCTGAAAAAACATTTGTTGTATAGTATCCATTTTGATCTGTTAGTACTATAAGGGAGTATGTTTTATCTATGGTACTATTAACATCATCCACGCTCTTTACCCATCTAAAAGCAACATAAAGTTAACCATGGGTAAACACTGAGATTTTCAAATTAATGCCAACTTTTGTGAAGGTTCGGCCTTCCGCCACAATTTCACCAAATCAAATTGCGCAATGCACTACAATGAATGCACCCATAGTTCATTGGCCCTACGCTGTGTAATGCAATCTCACATAAAAGTGGTAATCTATACACAGGAATAACTTCATGGTTATCCGATGCTCATTTATTCTTCTTCCATTAATATCGTGCCAAATCTGGCGCCTCTAGTTCTCATTTCGAGGAACAATACCTCTGAGTGGTAGTCTTCTGACATTATACATTGTTACTGTGCAAGCCATTTAAGTTTACAGTTTTTAAGTTTTGTGGTTATATTTTTTCAATTTATATAATCACAGCTGTGTTTGCACTAAATAAAAATACATAAAATTAGATTCCCATGCTATTTAAATGTGAATTGTTTTTATTCCGTAACAACCTTTTTGTGCATAATTAAGAAAAATGAATAATTTTCCCCAAAATTTCATGCCCAGACCTTTAAAATGAGACCTCTTCCAGCTTTCTACCGCCTCCCGTTCGCTCACAATTTCATTGTAAAATTTTGGGCTTACGGAATTAGATATATAGATACTATGGATTTTGATTGTGTATTTAAAATGCATTCATGTTTTAAGTAAGTACGCGGACAGCTGATTTTGCGGCCCCGGCCTGTAAAAACCTGCTCGGTCACCAAATTACGATGACAGCTGGCATGGCCAGCAAAACGTAACTTTCAGCCACCAATTAACGTATGTAATACAGACAAAAACATCATAGTGTGGTGAAAACAAAATAACTCCTCGGGTTGTTTATAATAGCCTATCTTGACTGAGCTACAAACTCCACAAGATACGCCATGTTATACAAGACCTAAAAATATCTGTAAATTCAATTATTACCGATGCTTATTAATGATAGTCATCAAAGTGTTAATTTTATATATTTAAAAAAACTAGTGGTCGTCCTGTGGTCGAAACTCGACCAAAAATAATTAATGTACAGACTTCTCTATTTTCTCCTTACACTGTAAATAAAAACATGTGATTGGAATTTCTTCCATTTGTTTTGATTTTCTGTTTACATTTTGTTGTTATTTCGTCACCAGCATGGCAACCCATAAGATACATATTATTTTTTCAAATTTGTAAACTCATTTTTTGTGCTTATTTTTTAGCCTATTTTAATTTATAAAGGGATTCTGCACATCTACAGGAAAATATCTTTCCAACAGTATGTGTAGATTTTCCCTGTGATGCACACGAGCTGAGAAAAAATGTTTTAAAGAAACATGCTTGCCTATTAATATATAGATTGCCTAACTTTTAGAATGACTTGTAGGTCTGACAAGCATTCTACCCTGGCCAATTTCATAAAACTAATCCTTGTGCACTTCTTTATTATTTAGGCGAGGAGGGGGAATGATCAAGGAATGTGCGTTTGATAATTTAATGAAAGATTTTAATACACAATTCCTACAGTCATTGGGTGCCTGATTAGAATGTATAAACACATATTTCATTGTGATATGGAGGAAATAATGGAATATATAACTCAAAGGCCCAATAGAATATTAGGGAAAACTGATTACTCCTTGAAATAAACTAATTATAAAATATCAAATAATTTAAACTACTTACAGAGAGTCTGCATGTACTGGAGAAGATTTCCCCAGCTTCATTATAAACTCTACAACAGTAAAGACCTTCATCATATAGTCCTGCATTCTTCACCTAAACAAAAATGTTGAAAGAATAACAATTATTGCTAAGAAAAAAGTTATAATTTTGTTACATCTGTTTCTATTGAAGTTTAGACGAGTTTTCGGTTTCATCATTTACTTACATTTTTGGCAAATTTCCCATATGCCAAAACTGCGGCCTATCACCACGCACCTGTTTTGCGCATGCCAAAGTCAAAGTTTCCTCCCTTGCCACACGGGTTACAAAACTTAGTAAGCTGTTACCATTGGTCTCATGGTAAGACTTGGACCCAGAACCGACTTGCTTTTTTGTTTTTAGGTCTCCAGAGGCCAAAAACACCATACGTTCAGATTCATATATCAGAAATATGAATCTAGTGTGTGATCTATTTCTACACCATTTTGTAGAAGCATTGTTATGTGCCTAATAGTTAAGGGAAAAAATGAAAAAAGTGCAAATTAGAGTTTTTAAGTTATTTTATTTATTTTTAAGAATTAGTGTTTTCTCACTTATGAATTTATTTGACCGAATTTGGAAATATAAGTTATTCCATACTAAACTATTAACATTTCACCAAAAACACATTACTAACTTCCATGTGTCAGCAAACCTAAGTAGTATTCATTAAAAATAATGTTATTTAAATAAGGACTAAATCTGACACAAGGTTTAGCTAAATTATTTCCATACAAGCATTTTTTTTTACATTTAAAGGCAGAAAAACACAAAATTAGACATCTATTGTGCTACTTTTGTTGCATCTATTTTTAAGCATATTATTCTTGTATACAACAATTCTTAGATATAGCATAAATATTAATTAGAATACCTCAATCAAGTTGGACGACTCATTGAGAACAATGTTAGGCATTGCACAGTCATCATCAGAGCTGCGGAACCACTCATAGTGAGGTGCTGGGTAACCTTCTGCTTGGACTGTCAATACCAGAGTCTGCCTACTAGGTACAGACCTGACACGAGGTAGGTCTACCAACAACACAGGACGAACTGCCATCAGGTCGACCACTACCTGCAAACAATCACTACATGATCAGAGCTGCGGAACCACTCATAGTGAGGTGCTGGGTAACCTTCTGCTTGGACTGTCAATACCAGAGTCTGCCTACTAGGTACAGACCTGACACGAGGTAGGTCTACCAACAACACAGGACGAACTGCCATCAGGTCTACCACTACCTGCAAACAATCACTACATGATCAGAGCTGTGGAACCACTCATAGTGAGGTGCTGGGTAACCTTCTGCTTGGACTGTCAATACCAGAGTCTGCCTACTAGGTACAGACCTGACACGAGGTAGGTCTACCAACAACACAGGACGAACTGCCATCAGGTCTACCACTACCTGCAAACAATCACTACATGATCAGAGCTGTGGAACCACTCATAGTGAGGTGCTGGGTAACCTTCTGCTTGGACTGTCAATACCAGAGTCTGCCTACTAGGTACAGACCTGACACGAGGTAGGTCTACCAACAACACAGGACGAACTGCCATCAGGTCTACCACTACCTGCAAACAATCACTACATGATCAGAGCTGTGGAACCACTCATAGTGTGGTGCTGGGTAACCTTCTGCTTGGACTGTCAATACTAGAGTCTGCCTACTAGGTACAGACCTGACACGAGGTAGGTCTACCAACAACACAGGACGAACTGCCATCAGGTCTACCACTACCTGCAAACAATCACTACATGATCAGAGCTGTGGAACCACTCATAGTGAGGTGCTGGGTAACCTTCTGCTTGGACTGTCAATACCAGAGTCTGCCTACTAGGTACAGACCTGACACGAGGTAGGTCTACCAACAACACAGGACGAACTGCCATCAGGTCTACCACTACCTGCAAACAATCACTACATGATCAGAGCTGCGGAACCACTCATAGTGAGGTTCTGGGTAACCTTCTGCTTGAACTGTCAATACCAGAGTCTGCCTACTAGGTACAGACCTGACACGAGGTAGGTCTACCAACAACACAGGACGAACTGCCATCAGGTCTACCACTACCTGCAAACAATCACTACATGATCAGAGCTGTGGAACCACTCATAGTGAGGTGCTGGGTAACCTTCTGCTTGGACTGTCAATACCAGAGTCTGCCTACTAGGTACAGACCTGACACGAGGTAGGTCTACCAACAACACAGGACGAACTGCCATCAGGTCGACCACTACCTGCAAACAATCACTACATGATCAGAGCTGCGGAACCACTCATAGTGAGGTTCTGGGTAACCTTCTGCTTGGACTGTCAATACCAGAGTCTGCCTACTAGGTACAGACCTGACACGAGGTAGGTCTACCAACAACACAGGACGAACTGCCATCAGGTCTACCACTACCTGCAAACAATCACTACATGATCAGAGCTGTGGAACCACTCATAGTGAGGTGCTGGGTAACCTTCTGATTGGACTGTCAATACTAGAGTCTGCCTACTAGGTACAGACCTGACACGAGGTAGGTCTACCAACAACACAGGACGAACTGCCATCAGGTCGACCACTACCTGCAAACAATCACTACATGATCAGAGCTGCGGAACCACTCATAGTGAGGTGCTGGGTAACCTAATGCTTGGACTGTCAATACCAGAGTCTGCCTACTAGGTACAGACCTGACACGAGGTAGGTCTACCAACAACACAGGACGAACTGCCATCAGGTCTACCACTACCTGCAAACAATCAATTCATGATCAGAGCTGCGGAACCACTCATAGTGAGGTGCTGGGTAACCTTCTGCTTGGACTGTCAATACTAGAGTCTGCCTACTAGGTACAGACCTGACCCGGGGTAGGTCTACCAACAACACAGAGTGAACCGCCATCAGGTCTACCACTACTTGCAAACAATCACTACATGATAACCAGTTAATATAACAATTATGCCAAAAATTTGAAAAAAGCTTAATTAATTTTAACAGGATTTTTATCTTATTTGTTGTTTTGTATAATAATAACTTTTACTTGATGTCAGTAGTAATAATTTTTGAGTTGTATAAATTTATTAGTTATAGTATTTTTTTATTTTATTTTGATTATGACAACACTCCTATCCTTGTACGTTGTACTTTTTAAGATGTTTATGAGTGAATAAAGAATTTGAATTTGAATTTAAATTTGAAAAGCACGACTTATTTTAGACGTCAAATACATTTTGATTGTTTAGAGAATAGAATGGAAACACAAAATATGCCTAACATGCATAAATTTGGGTCAGACAAATCTTAGGCTGTTGCTGATTCCACAACAACAACAGTATCAACTAACCTCAGAGGAATGTGTTTCATTGATGTGTCCTCTGATTTCCTGGCGTAAAAGGCACCAGTAAACACCAACATTTTTCTCACTGAAACACAAAAGTTAAACTCAAACAATACAAACACAAGCCAAATTCAAAGTGAAATAAAATGTCCACAATTTCTATTTAATTTACTAAAAATACTATTTTTATAAGGCTACTAAAACCTACATATCTTGAATAGGTTCATGCTGAATTTTGAGTAACTGTATATTTTCAATAACATGAAGGTATCCTTGCCTTGGTGTGGCGGTGGGGCTTGCGTGCTCTGACAACCTCGAGAGCTATGCCGGCGGTAGCGTAGCTACTGGTAGGGCCTCCCTTGCCGGACAGGTCTTCGTGAGGTAGGAGCCAGACGAAAAGGGATACCCTGGTCCTCCAGGTTGGGGGTTAAGCGTTGGGTTGACAACCCGCCTTGTAAAAAAGCCTTGTTACGAATCACCAACAAAGAACAGCCTCGGAAACTGGACAGAACAAACGGTTGAAGACCCGGATTCGCCCAAAACAACTTCGATTTGGTACGTGGAATATAAGGACACTAGCTATACCAGGAGCAAGTGACATTTTAGCAGAAGAACTTGATAAGTACAACATGGATGTGGTAGCACTTCAGGAAATTCGATGGCCTCTTGCAGGAAGAATAAATACAAATAAATACTTAATTTACTATAGCGGCTGCGATGATAATAGATACTATGGTGGTGTAGGTTTTGCAATAAATAAGAAACTATCAGAAGCTGTGATACATTTTGAGGCAATAAACGAAAGGTTGTGCAATATTAGGTTAAGAGGAAAATTTTATAATATATCTCTAGTCAGTATATACGCACCTACCGAAGACTCAAGAGGATGAGGATAAAGACCAATTTTACACCCTATTAGATGAAGTGGTGGGAAAGTTACCAAGGTTTGATCTAAAAATCGTCTTGGGGGATGCAAATGCCAAAGTAGGGAGAGAACAAATTTGGAAACCAGCCATTGGGAATGAGAGCCTACACCAAGAATCAAATGATAATGGATCCCGTCTGGCAAGTCTTGCACTTGCAAATGATTACAAAATTTCCAGTACAATGTTCCCCAGAAGAGACATACACAAGTACACTTCGACATCACCAAATGGCGTGACCAAAAACCAGATTGATCATGTACTTGTAGATCAACGACATAAAAGTTGCATTACAGATGTAAAGAGTATTAGAGGAGCAGAATGTGGGACTGATCACAGTTTAATCCTAGTCAAGGTAAACCAAAGAATAGCTGTTGAAAGGAGGAAGGAAGAAATACAAGAAAGACGAATAGACACCGAAAAGCTTAAGGTTAAACCGATAGCTGATGAGTTTAGAATAAAACTAGAGAATAGGTTTAAGATTCTAGAAGACTTAGATAAAGATGAAGATGTCAACAGTACCTGGAATAATTTTAAAGAAGCAGTCCTAGATTCGGCAGAAGAAGTATGTGGAAAGAAAAAGAAAAAAAGCAAAAAACCTTGGTTTGATTGTGAATGTGAACAAATGTTGGAAGAAAGGATTAGGAGGAAAATGTATGGATGAATAGCAACAATGAAGAAGACAGGTTGATGTACAACCAGTCAAATAAGGAGACAAATAAATTCCTGAGGAGGAAAAAGCAACAATATATTAAGAGTTTACTAGATAGGGCTGAAGAAGAAAACACAGCAAACAATGCAAAAGATTTTTACAGGAAAGTAAGATTTTTTAAAAAAGGATTCACCCCTTGTACATATGGAATAAAGAATAAGGAGGGACAACTACTAACTGAAAGTGTCAAGGTCCTTGAAAGGTGGCGCGAATATTTTGAGGAACTGCTGAATGTTGATGAAATCACCCCGACAGAAGAAGAAAATCAAAACAATGAGGACATTTACTTTTATGTTGAACCCTTTATCGAGACACCAACAAAAGAAGAAGTACAATATGCAATTAAGTCCCTGAAAAATGACAAAGCTCCTGGAAGAGATGAAATAACAGCAGATATAATAAAGAGAGGAGGAAACATAATAGTGGAAAAGCTGTGGAATTTAATTACAAAAATATGGGAACAAGAAGAAATGCCAATGGAGTGGCAGGAAGCAGTCATTATCCCTATTCATAAAAAGGGTGAGAAAGAAGTTTGTGATAACTATAGGGGAATCTCACTGCTTAGTATCCCATATAAAGTTATCTCAAAAATTATTTTAAACCGTCTAGAACAATACTCACACGAGTTGATAGGTGAGCATCAAGCGGGGTTTATGAAGAGTAGATCGACAACTGACCAAATATTTATCTTAAAAGAAATAGTAGCCAATTATTGGGAGTTCAATAAAGAATCTTATGCCTTATTTATCGACTTTCAGAAGGCTTACGACAGCATAAGAAGGGACAAATTGTGGACACAGCTAAGAAAATTCGGCATACCGAATAAAATTATAGCCTTAATTAAAATGAGTATTTCAGGATCTAAATGTTCAGTTAGAATTGATGGCCACAACTGTAACACCTTTGAAGTAAACTCTGGTGTCAGACAAGGAGATGGGCTATCACCGATCCTATTTAATTTTGCCATTGAAGAAGCTCTACAGAAGGTAGCAGAGAAGAACATAGGAGTGAAAATAGGAACCAAAATAAACATCTTAGCCTTTGCAGATGATGTGGTTATAATCACAGAAAAACTAGAAGATCTGAAGGCCTTAACCGAAGTATTTATGAAAGAAACAGAAAAAGTAGGCCTAAAAACAAACAATTCAAAAACTAAGTACATGCACTTTTCAAGATACCTGGATAATACTGAAGAACCAATAGAAATTGATGGCCATACATTTGAAAAAGTCAACAGTTTTAAATACCTAGGAGTAATTATATCCAACCAAAATACTGATGAACTAGAAATCCAAAGCCGAATAAATTCAGCAAATAAATGTTTTCATGCTTGCAATAAATTACTTTCATCAAAATCTTTGTCCCGGAAAACAAAAATCAGGCTGTACAAAACAATAATTTGCCCAGTTCTCCTATATGGATCAGAAACCTGGAAATTAAATAAAAGAGATGAAAAGAAACTAGTAGTATTCGAAAATAAAATTTTAAGGAAGATTTTTGGACCAATATTCGAGCTAGGAGAATGGAGAATAAGACACAATAGGGAATTACGGCAACTGTATAATAGCACAGATGTAATTGGAGAAATCAAGTGCCGAAGAATCAGATGGGCTGGTCATATATTAAGAAGAGATGAAGATTGTAGACTGGGAAGAGTTTTAAAGGGAAACACTACAGGAAGGCGACCCCGGGGAAGACCTAAGCAGAGGTGGTGGAAGCAAGTGCAAGAAGATTTGGAGAGAATTGGGGCAACGGAGGATGATGCGAAAGACCGGTTAACTTGGCGAAGATTTGTTGGTGCGGCCAAATATCACCTCCGATATAGACAATAGACAATAGACAAATAATCTTTATTTACACATTCATTAAGAATAGTAGTAGCGTCAATTTACAATTTTTTCTAAATGTTTGGTTGAGGTGTTGTTTAGTCAAAGACCTGTTGACGGTATTCTTCTAAGGAATAGAAAGGTCGATTAATGAGCCATTGATGCAAAGCTGGTTTGAGGTCATCTTCTGACTTGCTTCTTAGATCTGGAGGTAGCCTGTTGTAGATTTTCATTCCTGCGTATGAAGGTTTCTTTTCAAACTGTGTCGTGCGATGTTGTGGAAGGTTGTACTGCATGGTGTTTCTCAGGTTGTGTTGGTGCATTTCGCCACGCCTTGTAGGGTTATTTCTTACTGCAAATAACACAACTTCCTGGATGTAGAGTGCTACAAGGGTAAGTACTTTGAGTGACCTGAATGCTTCCCTGCAGCTGTCGAGTCTGTGGAGTCCTGCAGTTATTCTGACTGCCTTTTTTTGTTTTCTGAGAACTCTTTGCATGTTAGTGGCAGAGGTTCCACCCCATGCTACAAGTCCATATCTCATATGCGACTCGAAAAGTGCAAAGTATGCTACTTTTGTTGTCATGTCATCTGTTGCATTTTTTATATGTTTAAGAGCATAGATGGTTGAACTTAATTTTTTACATATATTGTCCACATGAGGGGTCCAGGTTAAATTCTTGTCGAGTGTGATGCCCAAAAACTTAGCTTCATCTTCCACTTCTACATCTGGGAGTCGTGGCACTTCTTGAGATTTACGGCCAAAAGCTATTTGAGTTGTTTTAGACGTGTTTACTGCGAGATCATTGTTATAGCAGTATTGGTAGGCCATACTGAGTGACACATAGGATTTTACTTCTAGATTTTCAGCTAGTGGTTCATTAAACACTAAGGTTGTGTCATCAGCATACATAAGAGTAAGGCAGGCGTCTCCTATTTGTTGCGGCAAATCGTTGGTAAAAAGAATAAACAGTATCGGACCCATAACTGAACCTTGGGGAACTCCTCGATTTATTGGTTGAAAATTTGATCTTGTTTTTCTTATTAGGTTGTTATCTCTGTGCCTTAGTTCTACAAACTGACTCCTGTCTGTAAGGTAGCTTTGAAACCATTCTCTTACTATCCCTGATACCCCCAGGGAATCCAGCTTTTTAATGATTAGCTGGTGGTCAAGGCAGTCAAATGCCTTACTGAAATCAAGAAAGATTCCTGTTGTTAGATTTCCTTCATCTAGGCTGTCAATCAGGGACTCAACCATCTGAATTATTGCTGTTGTTGTGGATTTCCCTTTTGTAAATCCATGTTGAAGGTTGTTTAGTAGGTTGTGATTTGTGCAGTGGTCTAAAAGTCTTTTTAAAACAACTTTTTCGTATATTTTGGAGAAGGTGGAAACGAGGGAAATTGGTCTGTAGTTGCTTGCTTCTAATGTGCTACCTTTTTTAAATTTCGGGTATACTTTAGTTATTTTAAGTAGTGAAGGAAAGATGCCTTGTTTTAGGGACTTATTTATCAAATCAGCCAATGGTACTGCTAGTTCATTGCAGCAATGCTTAAGTATTTTTGACGAGATTTCATCAATTCCAGACGAGTTTTTTGCTTTAAGTTTGTTTATAATCATTTTAACTTCCTTCTCGTCTGTGCTTTGAAAGGAGGAAAACAGTGGACCTGTTTGAGTCACGTCAGGAGTTTGAGCTGTGGTCTTTAGGTGTTTTTGTTTCTCTACTGTTTTTTCTCCTACTTGTGTAAAAAATGTATTCAAATGCTCTGCAACATGGGTCACATTACTTATGAGTTGGCCATCTACTTGAAGGGTTATTTCATTTAGGGATGTTTCCTTTTTGGACCACACTGTGTTTATTGTTTCCCAGATAGCTTTAGATTTATTTTCAGCTTTCATCAACTGGTCAGAGTTAACCTTTTTCCGCATCGTTTTCAAGTACAGGTCATAGTTCTTTTTATTTTCAATAGAAACCCTTCTGTCATCTGGATTTCCCGTCACCTCAAACTTTCTTAGAGCTTTAAGAAATTCGGCTTTAAGTCTCACTGCTTCTGGGTCCATGGAGAATTTTAGTTTATGTTTTCTTTGTATTTTTATCTTCTTTTGGGGGCAGGCTGCATCCATAGCTACTCTCACTATGTTACTAAAAGTTTTAAAAGCTTCTTCAGCATTGTTTATTGAGGTAACACTAAGCCAGTTTTCTTGACTGAGAAGATACTTGAGGTCTTGCAGGTTTTTATTTTTTAGGCAGCGTCCAATTTGGGCAGGATAACTTGAGTTGATGTGTGATTTGAAGTTTACAGTACAGAGTTGAGCAGTATGATCCGAAAGTCCTGCATTGATGATTTCTGGAGTGAGTTGGTTTGTGTCCATATTTGTATAAATATATATAAATGGCCCTGGGAGTAAGAGTAAGAGTAAGTATATTTTCAATACAAAAAATTACTTTACTTATACTTTACTTTTTTTATACTTTTCTTTGAAATGGCGACCATACAAAGTAGGTATTTTAAGCCAAATATGAATGGAGATGAGTGTAAATGAGTGGCGCAAAGTAATAGGCCTTCCAAAAAGACCATTCAATAGAAAATAAAAAAGGCATATACAAATAGATGTATTCTCCATGAAATAAACAATGAATTGGCAACACCAATAGTATGATTTCAGGACACAATTCCAGCCATCATAATAACCCAACATCAATAGTGGCAAAACAACTAAACCAAAATCAGGGTGTTCACATTCTGGATATTTAGGGATAGTCATGGAAAAAATTCTGGTCATTGAAAGTCATGGAAATAGGCAAAAAGTCATGGAAATCCCCAATGGTGGAAGGATTTGAGGGGGCTTTTCAATGCTCTAGTCGGCTAAAACCCTGACTATTGCAGCATTTTTCAGGATTTTTCGTAAAAGTAAAGCAATTAAATTTGTTACAGATGTTTTAGTTTATGAGTTTTGAGTTTCTATTAGTTCATTGTTGTACCTATTGTACTCCTTTGTTATCTGTTAATACATATTTCAGTATTTTCTGTGAAATAACTTATCCAGGCAGTATTATTCATGTGTGTATGTTATATTATAACTTTCGAGTAAAGCTTGTTAGTCATAGAAATCAATGATAAATGGTCATGGAAAGTCATAGAAATTAATGACAAATGCTCGGTGGACATCCTGAAAATTCATCTCACAAAATAACATTTGCTCAACGTCTTGCTGTCCCAAACCACGCCTACTCACAATAGTACTAGTAGATAGCTACTAGATTTAAAAACACATCAATAGCAATAGACCAGACACCATACATAAGATTTAAAAACTTATAGTAGATTTAAAAACTAGGCAGTTTAAACATTTTTGCCACCAAGACGGATGTACAAATAATACATTTTTTTTTTTATCTGAATTTGTTGTCGAAAACATTATGAATAATACAGAGTTCCGTTGTGTCTGCCGTGCAATCTGTGTCGGTTTGTTCGTTTGTTGTTCTATTAAATGTGGCCGGCCTACCTAAATGTTTTTTAAAAGTTAAATTTGTGAAGTTTATGTGTCGACATGACCCCAGACTAATTAAAAGACTGAAGATGGACAAAAAGGTATTCATTGTGAATAGCTTAAAAAAGTACTAATTTTTACACTTATAAAATAAACCTGTCTTAAACTCAAAACATGAAATGGAAACAAACTGTATATGATATTAAAGAACAAGATTAGGTAGAATTGGGGAAGTTGAGAATAGGAATGGCTGAAGAAAGTTTGAGAGAACTATTAGAGAAAGTGAGATTAAGATGGTTCGGCCACTTAAAAAGAATGGAAAATTATAAAATACCCGAGAAATGAGTGAACTCCACCTGCACGGAAGAAGACCATGAGGAGGACCTAGAAGAAGGTGGATAGATGAGGTGAGAGGAGATGTGGAAGCAAGAGGAGTGCAGTGGCAGTCTGGCAGTAAGTGGAGGAAGAGGAATTGTGGAGGGGCCTAGAAAACACCCAGACCCGGAGATAACAGGAATGGGAGAGGATAGGCCTATGTATGTATGTTTGTACTCAAAACCACGATTTTTAAATGTATTAAATTTTAAGCACAAATGTGTTTTGCCTACAGCTTAAAAAAAAAGGCTCGTACCTTAAATTTTCTACTCGTGTCGTTCTGAAAATTTAGTTTGGGCTGAATAAAGAGCTCACACATTACATTGCAAAATACCCACATCTCGGAGTAAGCATATATATCTGGATTTCCTTTTAACTATAACATCTATGTACCTGAAGGGAGATATGGTGAGCGTGTTGTTGCTCTGGCCAGGTAACACATTGTTATGGTAGTACCACTGATACGTTGGTCGAGGTATCCCAGAAGCCACACAAGTCAGCTCTAACACACTGCCACTCTCCACTCTCACTATGTCCTCTCCTCCCCCCGGCTGTACTTGGATAATCATAGGCTCTGGAAACATTCATATTGATGAAAAATAATAGCCGCGCTCAGCAATTTGAGGCAGTGTTAGTCCAATATCCTTACTTAACGTAAACAGGACCATATTTCCCTACTGACAATTGCAAAACTGTTCAAACAGTTTATAGTATAACAAGTTAGTATTTTTTTAAATCAACAATTTTGAACATAACCTGATTTTGACTCGACTAAAGGGCATATAACAATGAGATTAAAATAACAAATTAATTTAATAATTTTTTTAATTTGGTGGGTTCTGAATTGTCCAACTCAAACAATTCAGGCGGAGCTTCAGTTGTAAAAGACACCTGCTACTCACTCAACACTAACTTAACATTCAACACTGTAGGTTACATCCAGGGGCTTTGATAGTATCTTGGCCTTGGTTCTCAAAGAAAACATCTATTCTCTGTGAGCTCCCTTCCTGTACATTGTTAATCTTAACACAATGTATCTGTACGTTCTGTTCTGAATCAAGCCGCATTGGTAAGCCGCAAGTAATTGGTTCACTGATTGATTGATAACTTGACATTTTTGATAACTGGTTTTTTTCAGATGAACTGAATTTGGCCAAAATACTTCCATTGCACAAGTCCAATGGTTTTACAGATATGAGTAACTATCGTCTGGTATATTTGTTAAGTGTAATTGCTAAAATATTAGAGAACATTTTTTAAAGACCAACTTGTTGTCTATATCCACCAGTGCAAAATGTTAAGTGAAAATCAATATGGGTTTGGGAGTGACAATAATATATCTAATTATCGATAATTTGATACTTATTATCGATAAACATCTATCTTGGGAGGGCCATGAAATGTTCTGACATACGTCCAGAATATGCAGTTTAGAGACTCTAAGAGTTTTTATTTCTCATTATAATTCATTCACATACAGAAATGCTCTATATGGAGCAACAGCAAAAACTAATTTAGATAAAGCATTGAGTAGTACTCATTAAGCAGAAAAAAACTAGGCCTATCAGGGTAATGGAATATCTTAAAAGAAAAGAGCCAGTCAATAGCACCTTTCGTGAATTTGTGAGTAATCTTTGTACTCCTGTCATCTAAAAATGTAAAGGCTGGTCAAGGGAGAAAATAGATACAGATTGGCAAAAACAGAAAATTCACATAAATTAAATTGTATACAGTTTTTTAATAAGCTACCTGAAGAAGCAAAATTAGTTTCTTACCTACAGTATTTAAAAAAATAAACTATATGACTGGATGGTTAAAATCCTTTTTACAAAATTGATGATTATATAAGTTGTGAAATAAATATTACATTTTGAAGAGTAAGTTAAAATAAAGCTTTCGTTTTTATTTGAGTTAATTATTACAATTTTAGATATATTACTGTAAACATGGAATCACTTTGTACATATGTTAACAAAAAATTATGTGTCCTATTTCATTTATAAAGATCAATGGAAATAAATATGTCTTATTCTTATTTTTACTCACTGAAGTATCAGATTTGTGGGGCTATCTCTAGTGTGAGCCGCCGGAATTTAAAATACGGCCCTGAATGAATGTAAACCACCAATGTTTCTATAAAAAAGATTTTGATTATGGAATATACAGATTTTACAAAGAAACTGTTTTAAGCTTTACCCATACTATAAAGAGTGGGTAATCTACCAAGAGCAACCACCATCAACTAAGGTATTTATATTCTGACAATCACCACAGGTACATAAAAAAGGATCATTTAGTCATTCCCCATTTCAACCTTCGTTAGTTAGATCTACCTACTTCAGTATGAAACGTTACTTATAGCCTAGATCTAGTTGTAAATAATGGGAAATTAAAAATGTAATGATATACCTGCGTGAGTTAGTAGGGACAACTCTTCTAACATATCAAATTCTCGCAGCATGGCACAAAACTCATTGTACGAACATTCCCTATCAAACAGCTCCTCGAGAAGCCATTGGGCCGCACTAATTCCCCTTCTCTCCAGCTCTCTTGCTCTATTGACGTTAAGGAACACGGGGATTCTAAAATATTTATACAAATTAAGCATACTTTAAGCTTTTTATGACAAAATCTTAAGTCAAGTCAAATCATCTTTATTTTGTACAGAAAATCTGTAGGCTATAATAGCCTCACAAAAATGTAATAAAACTAAATTCTAAATACTATGAAAACTAAAATGTAACAACCCAATTCAAAGGGCAAAATAAGAAATATTTTATAGAGTAGGGAGCTCGTTCTAGAAGTAGTCCTATAAGTTTCACCGCTCTCCCAAATTTTTCGCTGACTTGCTCCACTTTAAGGGGTTCAGGTAGCCCATTGAAGAACCTGATACGGTACCGTACTGTTGTAAAAGAGGTGTCTTTAAAGAATATTGGCCTGTGCCTAGGTATAGCTTAATATTGTTTTTGTGTCTGAGAGCGTAAATACTGTGCATTGGATGGTACTGCGGTTGATAAAGATAATTTATTTTTTTAAACGACAGACAACTCATTATGTATATGGCAGAAATGTAAGAATATTGTATTCCTTGAAGAGAGGATTGTAAGAAGTACAACCGGATATTCTAAATGCTGCTCTTAGAGCTTTTTTCTGGAGACAGAAGACAAACTTTGATCGAACACTCACAAAGCTTCAGACTGCCATTAAATACGACAAGAATGGATAAATCGATCCATAATAGGCACTCAAGGTACACCTGAAAGACCTCTTTTCACGAAAATTCCTGAGCTAAGTCTTCTGGATATGAGCTCTATATGGTCATAAGAGTTGAGCAGCCTATCTAAACCCAAACCAAGAAACTTTGCAGTGCTGCTTAGGTTTTTATATTCTAAACCATAATACTATTAGAAACATACATTTGTTTAACAGAAAACATAAATGAAAACAAATCTTGAGGAAAAATGACTATGGCCTACCTGTAAGTTCTTAGTTTTTCTACGATGTTCAGCCAACGATCATTGTTGTTTAAATCATTCACTAACATTCGGTGAACTGTTGGATTTAGAGCATTTTCAAGTAGCAGTTCCATTGTTATTAATCGCTTTTAATTCTTCTAAAAAAAGACGTTTTTAAGCTACTCACTTCATCCTAAAACAGAAGAAGACAATTTAAACAAATGTAGCCTATAAGTTAGTAAAATGTTTAAGAATGTTAAGAATAGTTAACCTCTTATTACCTCCTTCTCGATCTTTTGTCATAAAAAAATAAAAAAACAACAATGTTATGAAAAGAAATGTTTAGAGACCAAGGGTACACTTCCATATCTGTTGGCATAAACAACCTAATGAGTAATATTGATTATTTGATTTTATATCGTTTGGTTAGTTAGGTTATGTTAACCTTACCTAAATCGATATATAGATTGATATTTTCATTCGGTTGTTTGTGCCAACAGATATGGAAGTGTACCAAATTTATATGGTTTTATTCAACTTAAAAATCTGCTACATTTTATATTAGAGAATTAACACAAAAGTGTAAACATTACATAGGTACATAAACAAAAACAATCTTAAATAAAACAGCTGATGAAATATTTGACAGTACAATAGAAATCACATAACATAACATTACCCCATCTTTTTTTTAAACTAGCTGTGTGCCCGTTCTACGCACGGGGATCTTATAGTAGTCAGTTGAAACCTTCTTATATTAACATTAAGAACAGCAGTTAGTTTGCATATTTGCAGATATGCTGGCAAAACTATTATATATAAACCTTCGCAAATACAGTATCTGACAGTTCAAGCCAAAATAAATGCTTCGCAATTAAATGTCACCCGGATCGTTATGGTCCATATGTCCAATGATTAAACTAAAAAATGTTTTATAGATCCATGAAGCGTAGCCCTAAAGTAGGCCTATAATTGAAAGTTACTTTCCACATCGGTTAACTTAAACGTATTTAAAGTACTACCTCAACCTCACCATTTAACACTTTATTCCGGTTGACATTTTCAGTATCAAAGGTGCTCTTGTCCATTCCGTGAAACACTGAGAAATAAGGACATTAATGCGTTACCAACAGACATAAACACAACAATCCAAAAAAGGCCACGAACTATTGATACATAAACAATATAAAGGCGTAAACAATTCATGATGGTTTGCCCAACAAATGTTTTACTCAAATAGGTTATCATTTTCTTAGCATACCGGGTAAGCTAAGATTTGGAATCCAGACAGAAAAAGCAAAACTTATACAGAGTTAAGACATCACTTAAATTGAATACGGACAGCTCTAATAAATAAGGTGCAACACCAACGATAACTAATTTGTAAACTACAGTGATGTGTTGGTACCTACGTAAAAATGATTCTAGCAGCTACTAACGGTTCTAAGGAAAAGAACCAGTACCTACGTAAGAACCTACCTAAGAACTATAGTACATCCGACCAATTAAATACATTAATATCTAGTCCCGAGGTTATTGATCTCTTGCTTTTGGATTTTCTTGTAAAAAGTTATAGCGTAAACTTATCGGTGTCAGCTTGAAAAAAAAACAACCTTACCCAAACAACTTTTTGTTATTTAATAGATTACGCATTCTCTAAACAATGATTAGTATATCTATTAACATTAGAAGGAAATGTGACAAAAATCACACAATGTTGGGGTTTTGGTCATTTGTAATTATATTTCTTAAGTAGGTAGGCCATGTATTCTATGGAAAAGTACCGGTATCAAGGATCGTCGTCAAAAAGGTTGTTATGAATAAATAAATATGTAGGCTTACGTACCCAAGATATGAGCTATGGGCCTATTGGCTGTATGGTCCAGCGATTGCATCACACAGTGAGTAGAAACAGAAAGTGACACATTGGAAAAGCGAGTTTAGCACTTCCTCTGTTAAACCTCTGTTACAATCACCCACTGCAGTTGTGATTTTTTACTTTACACTTTACACAACCGCCGTCAATGAGTGGAAACCTTTTTTGTAAGCTATTGGCGACGATCATTTCAGTGTCCCAGCCCTATACAACACTGATTCAAGGTCTTCTTTCTGGTTGTCAAAACTCAAGAAACATTTTATACTCAAAGAATTTCTGGTTCCGATTTGGACGATGTCTAGTTATTTAATTTCATTTACGGTTACACTATTAGACTATATTATTGCACTTGCGATAAATTAAATCCGTTATGTAAGAAAAACACTTTTAATCTCACTTGGTTGGGATTTGCTTTCAAAACGTGATTCGAAATGGTTGCGGTATTTGTAAACAATATTTGTAAACATATCATTGACAGCTAGAAAAAATAATCTTGATCCGAACAGCTGTTCGTTATTTCATAGACGATTATGTGATAAAAATTGAACGAAAATTTGAAAAAAATCACACAAAACTGCATTTTTGAACGTCCGTAATTTTATTTACAAAGTAGTGAGGCTATATTTAAATCACTAAAGACACTTTCGCCAATCCAGTGAATACATTAAAATGACTTGGATCTTGATAGGTACTCTGGTTTTCACGGAGAAGATTGCGTAAAATGCCATCTTGAGTGTTACAGACAAAGGGAAAGACAGACAGACAGACAGACAGACAGACAGAAATACAGATAAGACTCGTTTCTGCTTCTTTAATGTATAAAACGTAAAAATAACCTAAAAGTATATAATTCTGAGCAAAGTACAGACAAAACTCTAATTTTATTTATATAGATGTAATCTAATGTAATCTATTTTAAGACTAATATAAACATATCTAAATGCACTGTAACACTAGATGAAGTCGTGAAGAAGCTGGATTCTCTTGATCCGACTAAAGGAGCTGGGCCGGATGGTATAACACCAGCGGAAGCATTGCAGCAGTCAGCTTGCTCCTGTTCTTGTTAAATTATTCAATGCTTCATTATCTGGCGGCTGCTTTCCACCATTACTTAAACACAGCTATGTTGTACCCATCCTAAAGTCGGGCGATCCTTCTAACGTCAGGAATTACCGACCCATTGTCATCCAATCAGCAGTGGGTAAAGTTTTTGAAGGTCTGGTGCTGGATTTTATCAAGCCCTGTTTTAGGCAAGTGGTCGTGGAAGAGCAACATGGATTTACATTGGGCAGATCTACAATCTCTAATTTACTGGTTTTCCAGGACTACATTTTGGAAGCATTTAGCGTTGGAAATCAGGTGGATGTTATATACATTGATTTCGCTAAAGCCTTTGACAAGGTCAGCCATAGCTACCTTCTTGCCAAGTTGCAGGGTTATGGAATTGTTGGGAATCTGTGGCAGTGGTTCGGTAGTTACTTACAGAATCGGACTTTAGCTGTAAAATATGGCTCTAACGTGTCAGCTTCCTTTATTGCCACGTCAGGTGTTCCTCAAGGCTCACTGCTAGGACCACTCTTATTTGTGCTGTTCATCAACGACATTAGTAAAAACTTGAGCGTTAGATATTCATTGTTTGCTGATGATGTCAAGCTATACCAGACAATAAGAACAGATGATGACTTTCGTTTGCTGCAGGCTTCGCTCCACCAACTCTCCAATTGGTGTGATTCAAACCTGATGGAAATAAATCCTTCCAAGTCCAAGCACATTACTTTTCATAGAACAAAATCTCCAATTGCCAAGGACCTGTACTTGGGTGGTGATCTCATTGAAAGGTGCAATATTGTGAGAGATCTTGGTGTGTATATGGATTCCTCTCTGAACTTCAGTAACTCACATTGATGGTATTTGTTTAAGAGCATCAAGAATGATGGGTTTGGTCTTTAGGCTGGGAAAATTCGGCCTCAACACCCGGACTATGACATTGTTATACAAGTCATTAGTTAGACCGATCCTGGAATATGCTTCCTCGATATGGTCTCCATATCAGCTGGGACAAATTGATAAGCTTCAGTCAATACAGAGAAGATTCATAAGAATACTGGGAGTGAAGAATGGCTATGCCTACAGAGAGGTTCCTATTGCCGAGCTCGAAATCAACCTAAGTTTACCGTCTCTGTCTTCTAGACGCCTGATTGCTGATTTGGTATTTCTCTTTAAGCTGATAAATGGAGTTACTGATTGCCCCTACCTGCTTCATCTGGTCAACTTCAGGACCCCTTCACCTACCAGAGCACAATGCCTTTTTGAGCTGAAACTCAGAAGCACTAACTACCTTCGTCATAGTCCTATTCCTAGAATGCTGAGAGCTGGTAACGAGGTCTGCAATCTGGTGGATTTCTTCTCGGACTCCTTGGGTACGTTTAGACGCTCAGTCCTCTACTTGGAGCAGTGATAGATGGAAAGTCTTCTTCAAGTACAGTACGAAGTGGCTGGGTCCGTTGGTGGTGGAATTGAGCTTCTGTGTAGTGCTGGGTGTTTGGTGGCTGCGTTAAAGGGCCACATCTAAGTGTTTGTGTTTTGTTTTTTTTTTAGTGGGGGCATGGTCTCCTCACTTTTCATAGTTTTTAATGTAGTGTGTTTGTTATCTTTTGGTAGCTGCGTTAAAGGGCTACACCAGTGTCTGTGAGGGCATGGTCTCCTCACTTTTCCTCCAAACACACTTCTCCTACTTATTATTGGTGCCATCTGTTCTGCTACTGTATTTTTAATCATGTAATATAATGCTGTAAATAATTATGTTATCTTTGAGTATCCTCTTTATTATCTGTTGCTATTGTATTGAATAATTATCAATGTTTTTTTGTAGCGCTTGCTTATTAAACTTGTAAATCACCTGTATTTACTTGTAAACAATGATTGATTCACAACCAAAAGTTACAAGTGCTGATACAGTCATGTTATTGTTATGTAATTTCCAATTTTCTATTTATATTTGTTGCTACTGCATTGAATATTATATTGTTATGGTTGTTTTGCTATGCATTTTAGAATTGTAAATTGTTATTCTTGTTATTGTTATTGTTTATTATTGTTATTGTTATTGTATTATCATCTTGATGTAGACAAATTTGTAAAATTGGTTTAACCGTGGGAAATAAATGAAATGAAATTAAATCTATTAGATAGGTGGGATGCCTTCTGACTCTAGTGGAACGGCGCATGTTTGTTTCAATTTCAGATTAAATAGAATTCCCAACTTCAGGTTGAAGCAGGTTAGATTCACGTCTCAGGTCTTGTAGAACATGATCTAGTTCTTGACTGGGATTTTCCGAAGTCACAGGCTCATCCTCTTGTTGGAAAGCTTCAGCAAATTTGTCGCACCAATACCAGAGCCTCTCTACGATCATTATATTTTACTTGATGCGAGCGTAGTCTGGATTAGTCTCTATCAGCTGAGCTTGTTCCACTAAAGGTTTATAATCTATTTTCCCTATGTTTTAATAGCATAACCATAGACAAAAATAATTAAATATAGACTGTCAGCCGTGCTGTGGTTACCATATGTTCTGGCGCACACCGCTGGTAGCACAGTGTAGTTACGTAGTGTGTAGTCTGTAACTACATAGCGCTCCCAGTGGTGTGCGCCAGAACCTATGGTAACCGCAGCACAGCTGATGGTCTATATTTAATTATTTTTGTATAAGGCATAACTTACTTATTAGGTACCAACCTTATATTACTTTAAGCTTTAAAACTGTTCCACAAAAACACTTGAACAGTAATATTTCAATTGGTAGGGCCAAGAATAACAGATAATAACTTAACTTAACCAAACTTTATTCTTAATTGAACTGCATTTAAACTTATTCATTCCCTAGAAAATGTTGTGGCTGAGAAAATTAAATCATAAAAGCAGTAAAAAAAAGTATTATGCCAAAAACTGCAAATTCTACACAAACAATAACATAGGTGATAATATTTACCTGGTGTATTTTTGATGAACAAGGCCTAGCCTAGTGAAAAATATTCAAAAACTTGACTTAGGCCTAGGCCTAATTCATGTTTTCACATTTTTTTATCATTGAAAAATAACTTTTGGCCTAGAATTCCTGCTGCATCGCAAAAAGACACAATATTCTTTTATCATTTATGAATCAGATTTCCTTATCCTGCAATCAAAAACAAAAAAAATCAACCACAACACACACAACATACAAACACTACACTTACACTAGCCAGCAGACGATGACGATGACAGACAGGGTAGACAACTTTAAATGAAATTACAACTAAAACAGTTGTATATACTCTATCATTGAGTTTACACCATAGATAAAACGTGGTTTACACATACCAATTACTATGCTTATACAATTCAATTGAGCATATGTAATTTAATTAAAGTGCAGTGCGGTCAATTACACGAGACTTTTAACACCTAAATAGGAAAATGTAAATTAGCATATATGTTTTATATATGACAGTACTTGAGTAATATAAAAACGTTGCTAGTTTGTGGAACGCTAGGGAAATGTTACCATACAACTATCTAAGTATGCCGCGTTTTTATAATACGAATAAGAAATAAAGAATAAGAAAAAAACCGTGATCTCCGAGAATTGTAAAGATCCTGACATTGTGGCAAAAGTAAATAGTAGGAGACTAAGATGGGCATGTCATGTGGAAAGAAGAGAAAAATTGCTTACTTAAAAGGGTCTCAAATTGACAACCACATAAAGAAGCATTTTCATTTCATCTCATTTCATTTCAACCACAAGGCACTCGACCGTTAGTTGCGATGGAGAGAAAAAGTACAGAGGGATTTACAACGAATGGGTGCTTCCCTGGAGGCTGGACTCAGCGGCAGACCGGCAGCAGTGGAGACAGCTTGATGTTGACGGAGGCCAAAAAACTTCTTAGGTTTGAGTGGCCAAGTAAGGGTTTTCCATTTTAAGCCATTACAGTAGCACGTTTGGTAGAATTGGAACTCGGAAACGATCGGCAAAGTTGGGGGCGATCGGTATGACATATATAGAGAGCGATCGAGCGATCAGGATCAGACAGCGGAAGCGATAAGTAGATTTTAGGAGCAATGGACAGACACGTGGCTGCTTTTCCTTCAATATAGTTCGGGAGTGTTTTATTATAATTTATTCTTTATTAGCCTATTAGTCCCATAGCCCTGTGTGGTGCACGCATATTTTGTTTGAGTTTATGATTGAAAGATTGATACAATTGAAACTATTTATTTAACAAGATGTAAAAGTGTTCTATGTTGTAGATTGATGTAAAAGTGAGTAACTGTGTTGTTTAATACTTAATAACATAACATCTGTCATATGACAGATGTTTTTATTAATTTTTTACAGCATTTATTTATTTGTGTTAACAAAATAAGAACAAGAAATTAACAAGAGTTTGGTTTAACTTTAAATTTATTGCTAAGTTAGAATGATTATAAAACATGTTTATAAATGATTTTAAAACATACACGTCACGGGAGCCTACCAGTAGACCGACAAGATACTTGGTCGTCTGGCCACTAGACCGTCTTTTTTAATTAAATAGATAAATACTGAAAACCAGTACGTCGACAAGTTATTTCATCGTCATTCCAGTTGACCGGCCTGTAAAACTAAATTATTATATACGAGAAACCTACTTGTCGTCAATCGACCCGACCGACTTACCACTTGCTCGTCTTTTAGGTGGGGATAGGGGGCAGAGTGGGAGGAGCTAACCGGGGATTACCCAGGAGTTTGAGGCGCTTCTCGTGGTTGAACCACGTCGCTCGAGGCTAGAAGCCAGTCTTGCCAACTGAAAGTAGCCTAGCTTCGTCGAACACTACACACTCGGCGTGTTTATACAGTCTGGAGTTTAGTTTACGTTGGCGCGCAATTCTAATGGATAGTTTCGTCGTTTCTATAGCAACCGTTTCTATAGTGACCTCGTTCTCGCGCATTCCTCTGCCTATGTATTATTTAATCTGCTTTGAAAGATAAGACTCGCTTATGTGCATTGACTATTGAATCAAATAACAATATCATTAGGGGGTTTTGATCGTTTGTTTGGATAAAACTACGTACCGTATATTGTAGAATTACATTTGTAGTGTGGTAATATGGTGTATATATATATATATAATTAATACGCTACATGAAACTTTGTCGGTTGAACTCCTCCGCCATTTCTTAACCGATTTTATCCATTGACATCTCATTGGAAAGAGCGTGTCGCGTAGATTTGCCAACTGGCCTTACATTTTTTACAAAGTCCCTTGGGTTCTGCCCCAGTGGCTTTGAAAGTTCCCATGTTATCCTTATGAAGAACATAATTGTTTACATTTTGATCAGCTGTATAATTTAATTACTGTTATTTATTTTTCGATTCAATGAAACGCATTGAGTAAATTTATTTACTACTAGCTGTGTACCCGTTCTACGCACGGGGATCTTATAATATTCAGTTGAAACCTTCTTATATAACGAACAGCAGTTGGTTTGCATATTTTAAGATATGCTGGCCAAACTATTATACATAGCTTCATTTTATGTTGTTTTTTGTTGTTCCGGATCGGTATGACAATAAATAAAAGGTTAAATTACCTCTGTGTCTGCCGGTCGATCCTATAACGGTAGGCTTACTTTTATTTTTACTATCTGATCTCGTTTGCATGGCTCAATCACGTCCTGGTTGAAGTTCGTTCGCTACGCTCACTCACCTGTATGTTGGAGCTCGTTCGCTGCGCTCACTTTCCTTCAGGTTAGCTCGTTCGCTACGCTCACTTGCCTTCAGGTTAGCTCGTTCGCTACGCTCACTCGCCTCCAGGTTGCAAATTAGCTGTTGTCATAAATGTAAAAGAAATAATAGTGCTAGTGCTGCACCCTGTTGGTAATCCTTGTAACTTTAATGCTATTGAACATCACAGAACAGAACCAACTTGTTTAATTGAAACAGCTGTTAAGATTCAATAATTTCATTTCTCATAAGGTTAACATGGGCTTCCAGAAATTCCACGTCAAAAATCGACAAAAACTTGATTTTCAAGGGTTTACTGTTAAATATCTAACTGTCTCATATTCGATGAAATACGTCTAAAACCATCTCATATATGTATAGTATTTGGAAAATAAGTTTCAGGCGGGACAGTGCTATAGTTATTGAGGAGTAGTTGTAATAAAGTGCGTATTTTAGCGTTACCAAGAGAATGACAGATAGACAGACAGACAGACAGACAGACAGACAGACAGAAATTGAGATAAGGTTTGATTCGGTTTCTCTGACCTATGAAATGTAAAAATAACCAAAAAGTTCATTATTCTAAGCAATGTACAGACAAAACTCTAATTTTATTTATATAGATTTGAGTTTGTGTAAACATAACCCCCAAAACGAAAACGGACCGTGTCAGTATGGTTGTATCTTGAATTTATATATTTATCGTTGCTTTGTGTCGCTATGACAGATCGTGTTAGCATGATTGTAACTTAAATTTGTGCATTTATCGTTGTTTTGTGTAGCTATAATTTGTTTATTTGTTGTTTTTTTTCTTTTAAATGCCTCCGACGCGACAACAACGAAACATAGAAAGGAGGCGTACACGTCAGCACCTGACCCTGGACAATCTCAACTATTAGGTTACGAATGCGAGCTAACACTACCCCTAAAAGACTTTTCGTTCTCAATTTGACCCTCTATCAATGACATGTGTTGCCTGTACAGCGAGGCATTTTGAGAAGGAGAAAACCAGCCGGAATGCTTAAGGTTTATCAATAACGAAGATCAGGGATTTAGGTAATCAGGGTCTGAGTTACACAATGGTAATATTTGAGTTGACTCTTTTTAAACTCTTTTTAAACTTTGAGTTAAACTTTTTTAAATATGACTGTTATTGGTTTTGAAATAACCCCTGTAATACTTTGCAATTGCTTGAATTTGAGCAACATGTACACTAGTATATATATAGGACCTGTGTATAATTTTGGGTAACATGGAGGTCAATTTACCTTGTGTAGGCCTATATCAAAAAAGTTTAATATCTTAAATTAATCCAAACGATTCATAGTAGCCAACAGGCACAAAGTATTGTAATTATGCAAGATGTTGTAAATTTCAAACATGTGTAACAGTTAAGTTTACTGCAACAGTAGTTCGTTAGGATTGCCTATTTAAGTAAGTTGTTATTAGGTGTATAAGTCGTTCATCAAGCGTCATGAGAAACGAAATCTGTTATAGAAGTGAAAAAATACAGTTAATCAAATGGTGCTGTATATAAAATATCTGCAAATAAAATTAGAGTTTTGTCTGTACACTGTTCAGAATGACATATTTTCCTCCTCGATAAGGGTTTACCTCCTCGCAAGTTATGTCAAAAAAGGTGTAATTGTAATTTTACTAAGAAAATTAAATCCAAAAAAGGACTGGTTAATAGAACCAGATTAATGGCGAAAGTTATGAATGATGAAGTCTTGAAATTATTACTTGAAGTTCAGCTGGAAAACGAGTGTTCCTCTAAAATTCGTCCTCGAAAAGTTGGTCTTTATCTGCTAGAGCTGCATCCCCTGCTTACAGCATGGGGAATTGTACGTAACAATTTCAAGATGCCGCGCTTTTGATGATCTAAAAATAATGGTTAAAGAACAACGAAACCAAGGTCATTTGGCTGAAGACGTTAGAGTGTTTACAAAAAGACATGGTATGTGAAGAGTTTCTTATTTAACATTTTAAAAGTAAGATAAACATTTTAACTGGTCTGTCAGTCAGTATTCTAAGCCTACTCTGTTAAAACCTTTATCAAAACAGTATTGAGCTTAAGATTTTTATTTACGGTTAGTTAAAAGTTAAGCGCTTAAAATTCTTCCTTTTTTTGTATTGAGAAGTTAAAAGGTAATTAAATTTTTTTAATGATTTTTAAATAGGTACTGTATAGTTAATATTAACTGGAAACAACTAGTCTATACTAGAGTAACAAATTACAAAATACAATACAAAGGAAAAGGGCATTCCTATGAATGCTATTGAGCATTGATTATTTAATGTATTTGGGTTTTATGATGTATTACTAACCAAAGGAATACTTACTAACCAACCGCGATACCAGTGACTTAATAACGGTCAACAGATGTTGGGTATCACGAGCTTAAAGGATCGCTAGACAAAGTTGCCCGAATCGCATGGATGGTAAAATAACTTCTGGCGATG